TTTGATCTCATTTATTGCATTATTCATTATTGATTGACTCTTTTGTATTTCTTCTAGGTTCTTGCTAAACATTTCTTGCATCTTCTCAATCCTTGTCTCCAGGCTATTTATCTGTAACTCCGTTTTGTTTTCAAGATGTTGGATCATTTTCACTATCATTCTTCAGAATTCTTTTTCGGGTACTTCCCTATCTCCTCCTCTTTGGTTTGGTGGGCATCTATCCTGTTCCTTTACCTGCTCAGTATTTCTCTGCCTTTTCCTCTTGTTTAGATTGCTGTGTTTGGGGTGGCCTTTCTGTATTCTGGCAGTTTGTGGTTCCTCTTTATTGTGGGGGTTCCTCACTGTGGGTGGGGTTGGACAGGTGGCTTGTCAAGGTTTCCTGGTTCGGGAAGCTTGCGTTGGTGTTCTGATGGGGGGAGCTGGATCTCTTCTCTCTGAAGTGCAATGAAGTGTCCAGTAGTGAGTTTTGAGATGTCTATGGGTTTGGTGTGCCTTTGGACAGCCTGTATATTGAAGCTCAGGGATATGTTCCTGCGTTGCTGGAGAATTTGCGTGGTATGTTTTGCTCTGGAACTTGTTGGCTTTTGGGTGGTGCTTGGTTTCAGTGTAGGTATGGAGGGTTTTGGATGAGGCTTTTGGATTAATGTTCCCAGGAGTCAGGGGTTCTCTGGTGTTCTCAGGTTTTGGACTTACGCCTCCTGCCTCTGGTTTTCAGTCTTATTCTTACAGTAGCCTCCAAACTTCTCCATCTATATAGCACTGATGATAAAATGTCTAGGTTAATGATGAAAAGTTTCTCCACACTGAGGGATCCCCAGAGAGGTTCACAGAGTTACTTGGAGAAGAGAAGAGGGAGGAGCGATATAGAGGTGACCAGGAGGCGAAGAGGGGGAATCAAAAGGGGAGAGAGCAAGCTAGCCAGTAATCACTTCCCTATGTGCTCTCCACAGTCTGGACCCCTCAGAGAGGTTCACGTAGTTGCCCAGATAAGAGAAGAGGGAGGAAGGAGACAGAGGTGGCCAGGAGGATAAAAGGGGGAATCAAAAGGAGACAGACAGATCCAGCCAGTAATCAGTTCCCTAAGTGTTCTGCACAGCCCAGAATACACATAGAGATTCACAGAGTTGGGTAGAGAAGAGAAAAGAGAGGGCGGAGATAGAGGTGACCTTGTGGAGACAAGGAGAGTCAAAAGGGGGAGAGAGCAATCAAGCCAGTAATCACACTCCCAAGTAAAAATGAGTACTGCAGATTGAGTTCTTAAAGGTACAAAATTGATAACAAATGCCAAAAAGCAAAGATTAAAAATCTAGAGTAGAGGTTAGACTCTCAAAAACACAATATTAAGAAAAGAAAACAAAGTCACAAAAAATTATAAACTATATATATGAAGTTTGCTTTTCAAATAGGGTCCTTTTTTTTTTTTGCAAGGTAATAGTAGGTTGTAAAAATGAAAATTAAAGGAGTAATAGAGGACTTAAAAATTAAAAAAAAATTTAAACATGATAATAATACAAATAGATCTAGGAATTTCTCTGTAGCTGTTGCGGGCATTGTGGGTTCAGTTCAATTTCAGATAGTTCCTTGATCCAGCTTATACCTCTCAAGATCTATTGGCCCCTTCCAACATAGTCGCTGCTAACTTCAGGGTTTTAATCTTTTGCACCTGTCATTTCCAAAGTGGTTCCCTCTGTTTGATTTTGCTTCTTCTGTTTGCTGGTCTCTTCAAGTGTCTAACTTCTGTCCAGACACAAGGGGCGAAGGTGGTCACTTACTTAAGCTCACCTGTTCAGCCCTGCTGTGGGGATGGAGGAACACTGCAAGCAATATCACCGGCGTGTGTGGGGAGTGCGCACAGTGTCTCGGCCGCACTGGGTTTGCCCCCGCTCATGGCGTGTGCACTTTCCCAGTGTACACTTCTCAGGCTCTAGGTTGCTCTGCGGGGAAACTGTCTGAGGCGGGCCCTGGATTGTGTGCACTTCCCAGGTCTAAGCCACTCAGGTTCAGGTTCTCGTGTACTCCACAAAGGTGCAGACTCGGGTTGGGCCTGCGTTTTGTGCCCCTCCCAGGTCTGAGCAGCTCAGGTGACCAGCTGCTTGGCGAGCGTCATCTCCCCAGGTGGGGGCTGCGTCTTATCACCTCCCGGGTCCCAGCCACTGAGTTTACTGGGTGGCAATGGGCGTGGCCATCTCTGGTGTGCCATGCGTCTCTTCTGGGGAACTGATCTCTGGCTGGGACCCTCCAAGCGGATGTCAACCATCCAGAATCCCAAGAAGTTTTGGTTAGTGACAGGGTGTGTGCTTGCAGTTTGGTAGAGGATGCCTCTCTGGGGCCGAGTTTGCCTCTTTCCAGCTCTGGCTGCCCGCCTCCTGCCTCCCTGCCTCCGGTGGGGCATGAGGTGGTCTGCAGTGGGCTAGCTCTCCTCTGGTATTCACTCAGTCCTTTGTTCTGTGGGCGGGCCTGGCAGTGCCTTAGTTTAGGGCTTTTTGCGGGGTAGTTCTCTCTCTCTCTTTTGTCCCTCTCTCTCTCTGGCTGTCCTACAGTTTAGGTTGCTATCTCATGTTAGTTCCCTCAGATTGCCCTCAGGGCATTCAGGCCTGGTCCTCAACATAAGCAATGCAGCCCCCCCTTGCTGGTGGCGGATGCGAGCACTGGGAGTTGCCGTTAGGCACATAATCTGTGGGGTTTATTTATTTATTTATTTTTCCTCCTTGTTACATGGCCCTCTGACATTCCAAGTCTCCCCACAGACCCGCCGGTGAGAGTGTTTCCTGGTGTTTGGAAACTTCTCCTCTTTTACGACTCCCTTCCTGGGATGGATCTCCATCCCTACCTCTTTTGCCTCTCTTTTTATCTTTTATATTTTGTCCTACCTCCTTTCGAAGGCAATGGGCTGACTCTCTGGGTGTCTGATGGTCTCTGCCAGCATTCAGAAGTTGTTTTCTGGAGTTTGCTCAGCATTCAAATGATCTTTCGATGAATTTGTGAGGGAGAAAGTGGTCTCCCCGTCCTATTCCTCTGCCATCTTCAGACCGCCCCCCATTTTTTTTTAAGGAACTTTATTAATTTCAGTGTTTATAGATGTTAAATTACCATGTCAATTCTTTGTTATACATGTGAAACTAACATGTAAATTCTTCCATATCAGAAAGTTAGTCATTTTGGTTACTTGATTTTTTTAGTTTGTTCTTTCTTTCCTGATGTGATTACTGAGTCCTGCTTGATCATCATAAATGTATTTGAAAACTTTTAAACCTTCAACTTGGATAATCATCGTTTTGCTCCTTTTTTTTTTATGTAGATCATTCCTTTCATCTTTCCCTGGAATCCAGAAGACATAGATAGGAAATAAGAGTCGTCAGTGTGCTGTTTACAGGGAAAGAAACAGTCAACCATGTGAATGTTCAAATAGGGTTGTAAAAAATTCATTTATTCTTAACTGAAGGATAATTGCTTCCCAGAATTTTGTTGTTTTCTTGTTGTCAGACACCAACAAGAATCAGCCATAGGTACAGCCACGTCCACTCCCTCCCAAACCCCCCTGCATCTCCCTCTCCATCCCACCCTTCTTGATTGTTGCAGAGACCCTCTTGAGTTCCCTGAGTGATAGAGCAAATTCCCACTGGCTATCTATTTTACAGATGGAATTGTAAGTTTCCATGTTATTCTCTCCATCCATCTCACCCTCTCCCCTCTTCCCTTCCCCCGTGCCTGTAAGTCTTTTCTCTATGTCTGTTTCTCCATTGCTGCCCTGCAAATAAATTCATCAGTACTCTCTTTCTAGATTCCATACATCTGCATTAGTATATGATATTTATATTTGTCTTTCTGACTTACCTCACTATGTATAATAGGCTCTAGGTTCATCCACCTCGTTAGAACTGACTCAAATGCGTTCCTTTTTACAGCTGAGTAATGTTCCTTTGTATATATGTACCACCACATCTTCATCCATTCATCTGTCAATGGCCATCTAAGTTGCTTCCATGTTCTAGCTATCATAAATAGCACTGCAATGAAAATCAGAGTGGATGTGTCTTTTCCACTTTGGTTGCCTCAGGGTATACTCCTGGCAGTGGGATTGCTGGGTCATATGGTGGTTTTATTCCAGTTTCTGAAGGAATCTGCATAGCATCTTCCATAGTGGTTGTATCAATTTACCTTCCCACCAGCAGCCTCCACACCCTCTCCACCATTCATTGTTTGTAGACTTTTTGATGATGGCCATTCTGACTGGTGTGAGGTGGTATCTCATTGTGGCTGAGTGGTGAAGAATCGGCCTGCAGTGGGAGACCTGGGTTTGATCCGTGTGTTGGGAAGGAAGGCATGGCGACCCACTCCAGTATTCTTGCCTGGAGAATCCAATGGACAGGGGAGCCTGGCAGGCTTCAGTCCATAGGGTGGCACAGAGTCGGACACGACTGAAGCGACCAAGCAACAGCAGCAACAGCAGACTTTTGGATGATGGCCATTCTGACTGGTGTGAGGTGGTATCTCATTGTAGTTTTGATTTTCATTTCAACTGTGATTTTTTACCACAAGATAGTGCTTGAAGCTTGAAGGTACTACTACATTTGGATTGTCAAGTTGATCTGCAGGGAACATTTCAAGAGCAGCAAAAGCATGGGAAATAGTAATGAATATGTGGGGTTATAATAACAGCAGTTAGCTTTAGTGATGTTTCAGTAAGTGCAAAGCATTTTGGATAGCTTACATAGCACGTGCAGAGTATCTTTATGGCAGCCGTACTTGAAGTAACATAAAGTAACGGTGCCCTGTTTGAAGGTGGCAGCTATGGAAGGAGATAAGAAGGGGCTGATCTCTTAGATGTGGCAACCACTGCTTGGTGATGCAGAACCGTGTTTGAATTCGGCATCCTGGTTCTGTCACATAGCAACTGTGGGATCTTGGCAAAATCTGTCTTAACCGGGTTAAAAGTAGGGTGCTTTCTTCAAAAGGGATTAGGAACTCTTCATGCAACCCATTGTTATCATTCATTCTAGCAGAGTGTTTCTGAGAGCCTTCCACAGAAGTATGTGGGTCATTTGCCTGGAACTGCTGGTCAAAGAGAAAAAAAGACATTAAATGAACAAATAGAAGGTAAGAACTCTATTTTACAGAAAAATCATTTGACAGAATGTTGATTGAAAACGGGAATGCTGATACACTCTAATAGGCAAAGAAAATCACCTGTCAGATGGGTAGTGAGAAAAAAGACGAGAAAAGGAGGGCAATCGTGCATCTTATCAGGTGTCTACCACAGATTACATTGAGAATCCAGTTTAAGAAACTAAATTATTCGTTCTTAGACTTACTTCACGGTCCAGTGTTTTAAGACTTTGTCCAGTTAAGACTCTCCAATTCAGGTGGTGCAGTTTCATTCCCTGGTCAGGGAACTAAGATCCCATGTGACACGTGACCAAAAGGAAATTATTACTTCTATTTCAAGATAACTCTACGCCCTCAGGAAGGTGAAGAAACAAGAGGCAAGAGAGAATGAAAGATGAGAGAGGCAGAGGGTACAGGGAGGAAATGAGCAAAAGGAAGCACGGGTCTGTGGGGGAAGGTGGAATAAGTAATGAAGGTCCTTAGATAAAGGGAGAGTATTTGACATGGACGATGGATTTGAAGTGAGCGTCCGACACCAAAACTTGTCAGGGAAGAACTGCAAAGTTCTCCCCCCTCTTCCTGTTGTACTCGTTATTAGGAAGACATTCAGAACTGACGTCTCCAGGCATGCAGAGCTGTGTTTTATCTTCTGTGGAGTGCAGGCATAGGAGCTCAGCTGTAAACGTGTGCAAATTGATGTCATATGAAATGTTGCTGCTGTCTAGGATGGTATCACATGGGACAAAACAAGAGAGCTGGAAAGAAGGAGAGAGCAGGGGGCGTGATGGGGAGACCAAGGAACCCACAGCCTCATAGAGAGTCCACTGGAAGCTTCCCAGCTTCTAATGCCATTTCAGTTTCGGGGGACGTGTTGGCGTGAGGAAACAGAGGCTGAGATTTCAGGAGCATGAATTAAGTTGAAGTCATGTAGAAGCAGACTCCGTGTAGACCAGTTTCTCAAGTTTTAGTTAGTCACTTGGGGACCATGTGTGAAGTGCACATGCTGAGCAGGAGATCTGAGAGTCTTTGTTTCTAACAAGCTGTCCAAGTAGCAAGGGTGTAGCCTTGCCTTTAGAGAAATCTGGAAGAAGAGCATTGGATAGTGCAGGACATAACAGGATCAAGGAAAAGCGTTATTTTGTGTTTCCTTCTGAGCGTGTTTATAGCCAGATGGAAGCAAAGAGTTGAAGTAGCAGTTATAGGTGTAAGATACCATTGCTAAGCAAAGAAGGAGAAAGACATGGTAGGGATGATCCATAGAAAGGATGTCAAGGGGGAAGATTTGAGTCCACAGATCCAGAGATTACCATTTAGAGAGGAGAGAATCTAGTGAAAGGACAAAGGGAGGTAAGCACGGCCTTAGGGAGGTGAGTTTGGAGTTGATGGGGACACTTGAGAGCGCTCCTTCTAGATGACTTCAGTGTATTTACCCTGAAAAGAGATAAGATCATTATTGCTCCAGAGAATCCTGGAGGTGGGAGGGGGTGCTAGAAGTGGGGGAATCGGCAGCCCCTCCGAGTAACTCTTAGTCATCAGAGGTATATGTTGTACCGGTATTTGTTATTCTAATTAGATTAATTTGAAAATGACGGCATTGAATTCTTTTTTTAAAAAGATAGCTGATTTTTTGAAAGTTGTTTCATAGAAATCCTTTGAAGCATTACCATGATGTACCAAACCAAACTAAATTTTGAAGCCAAACAGATTAATAGGGTTCATTCCTTAAATGCTAGAAATACTTTTAATAAATAATACACTGATTTTGAAACATGCAAGATTTTTAATTTCTAATAATTCTGTGGCAATTCAATGTATTATTTCCTTTTTGATAATTGTATTTGAATATTGAGAATTGATTATACATTATTTCCTAGATGTGTCTTGTATACTTTCGTGCATGAGTGGATCGAGAAACTTTAAGATGGCTAAACTAGAAGAGCCAAGACATGTAGGCATGCCAGTAGCCCACATGGATATGGAAAAAAACACGAGTATTTTTATGAGCCATTTTTCCACAAGTGTATATCCAGGCTAATCAGTCCATTACCCTGTCTTTGATGAGAAATGAATTATACATTCTGGTGAACTGTCATCCCAACTGTGCACTTCTTAAATGAATGGACAGATTGAAGAACATGATAAATACTTATCATATAATGGTGTAAATGATAACTTCCATGTTTCATTCAAGATATGCTGTTGCATTTTACCATCAGCTTTCACATTTATCTTCTTGGGTTCATGACTTCCTCCTCTGATTAAGATCCATTTTCTCCTCATCAGTCAGCATGTTCACATTGGTCTGTGTGCACATTAATGTTTTATAAAGCCATTGAAAATGTAATGTTACTTTTGAAATCTTAACTGCACATTTCGGTGAACCTGTATTACTATTATTTTCTTCACTATCTTTAGTGGATTCATATGTCTGTCTTACCAGTGTCCTAAGATCCCCCTAAAAACAAGACTCTAAAGCTGAATGTATTCAGTGCCAAGGCAGAGCATGAGGATTCTGCTCGGTAATAAGTCTGCATGAATATACAGCTGGCTTTCATATTTACATGTAATTAACTCTATGTCCCTTTTGCCTTTTAGAGTCTCCTGAGAAATATCCTAATGTGAAGGTAAAAACGTTTATGTTTTATCTTGAATTATGAACTGTGGATTGTATCATATGTACATTGTTTATTAATCAACTTGTTTCCAAACCCATTCAGCAGGCCGTTGGAGTGAAAGATTCTGTTCCTAATAAAGCAGTCAGAATAAAGGATGCACAGACATCTAATTCAGGTAAATTTTGCAATACACACTTAACTCTGGTTCCTGCATTGCAAGCTGATGCTTTACCGAAGTCCCTTCAGGAAAGAGGGACACTGAAATGTTTGAAATGCTAGCTCTTTGTACTCCTAACTTCTTTTTGCAAATTTAATTGAAGAATTGGGCAAACATAAGGCAAATGTTACTGTTGGTATCCATGTTTTAGAAGAAAAGATATTCACAAGCATATGAACAAGAAATGTTTAACATGTAAGCTTGAACTCAAGATGTTTCTGTATATGTTTCATTATGCATTAAATTCTCAGTTTGGAATCTCTATAGTCTCAGCAATTCTCAGAGATTAATTATTAGACCCTAAGATTTTTCCAGTGTCCAAAAATGTGTATCTGAACTCTGACCTTTCCCTAGAGTAAAGCTTCACTTGCTAATATGTCAGTTGTATTTCAGCTTATACTTATTTCATTTTAGTGTTCTTACACAGATGAATGTAGGCCAATGGGATGTTTTGATTAGCAGACTGTGTGTGTGTGTGTTTGTGTTGTCTTTGATTATTAGAAGTAAGAGAAGTAATCATACCTTAGATTCGATAGACATAATCTTTCAAAACAGTGATTCTGAAAGTTTTTGGCTTTAGGATCCTTTTATACTTCAAAAAATTATTGAGAATTCCAAGGAACTTTGTTCATTGTTTTTCACTGTATTGGAAAATAGAAAAACTTAAAATACAAGCACACACCATCATAGTTGCTAATTCCATTAGTCCTTAGTGTTATGATATCCCATATCGTGTCTCTGAAGAATGCCACTCTGCCCGCAGAACAGCATGAGAATGGAGGTAACGTTTAGTGTTGTTGTGAAAAGAGTTCTGACCTCTTGGACCCCCTGACCCGTTGGGTCTCTGGACTTCAGCGATTCTGAGGGGACACTTGAGAACCACTGTTTTAAACCATTGAAGTGGCTGGATATAAATTGATAAAGGGGCCCTTGTGATGACACAGGGTTTTAAGTTTCACATTTACATTTCTTACTTGTTTCTTTGACTTCTCTCAAGAAATTCAGATCTAACAGTTTTAGTTTTTTGAGGTGTATTCATTCCTGTCTCATGGTCCTCTGTGCTCTTTGGATCCAGTGTGGTCCTAGACTTACCTATTTTCACATGGAAACAATTAGTCACACACAAGGCTATCATTTCTTATATAAGTTTATGGTGTTTTTGTTTAGTCGCTAAGTCGAGTTCAACCACTGCGACCTCATGGACTGTAGCCCGCCAGGATCCTCTGTCCAAGAGATTTTCCAGGCAAGAGGCAAGCGTACTGGAGTGGGTTGCCATTTCCTTCTCCAGTGTATGATGTTTCTCCAAGGCTTTAAAAATGAGTTCTGAAGATATATGTACATTGAGGAAAGACCATCTCATTGAAATTAAAGTAGTTGTTGATGGTGGTGGTGTTCAGTTCCTAAGTTGTGCCCGACTCTTTGTGACCCCATGGACTGCAGCCAGGCCTCTCTGTTCCTCACCATCTCCCGGAGTTCGCCCAAGTTCATGTCCATTGAATCAGCGATGCTGTCCAACCATCTCATCCTCTGCCTCCCCCTTCTCTTCTTGCCCTTCTCTTCTCGTCCTGCCCTCAGTCTTTCCCAGGATCAGGTGCATTTCTAGTGAGCCAGCTGTTCGCATCAGGTGTGCAAAGCATTGAAGCTTTAGCTTCAGCATCCGTCCTTCCAATGAATATTCAGGATTGATCTCCCTTAGGATTGACTGGTTTGATCTCTTTGCTGTCCAGCGTTCTCTAAAGAGTCTCTCCAGCACCACAATTTGAAAGCATCAATTCATCGGCACTCAGTCTTCTTTATGGTCCAACTCTCACACGTGACTACTGAAAAAAACCAGACCTTTGACTGTACGGACCTTTGTCAGCAAAGTGATGTCTTTGCTTTTTAATATGTTGTCTAGGTTTCTATCGTTAATTAAAGTAGTACCATTCATTGAAAGTGTTTCTAAAACCGTGGTCTCTAGAACACACAATATCATCATGCAAAATTAAATGTAAAATAAATTAGAGATAAATTTTGTTACTAAAACATTTGTATGTTGACGGAAAATAGTAATAAAGTTCTTATGAAATACAGAGTATATAATAAAGATTGAGTGAATCAAAGTAATGCTAGAAAATTGAAAAGTAGAAGAAATGAGACATGCTAGTTACCATCTCTAAATGAATGACAGTGACATGTAAGATAGAGTCACCTCTGAAGTGTAGTGAGTTTGAGGGGAAGAAGGACGTGGAACTGATTCTCTGAAGAAAGACTTTGTACGAGGTAGTCAGAGTTGTGTTCTTACTCAGATTCTGATAAATGAAGAGTTTGTTTTCACATTTTTCAGACTGGGATTCGACTACTTTGAGCCTCAATAGTGAGACTTGTCAAAGAGCCAGGCATTTGAAAGTTGATGATCAGCGTCCGTTGGTGTCCCAACTGGTGACCAAAAGTCAGTCAGCACCCACAGAACTCGGACAGAAGACCGCAACAGATAAAGAAAAGATGAAAAATGCAGCGATGTTTCTGGTAGGGAATTCCATGCCCCATCACCCGGGCCAGTCTCCGCTGCCAGAAAACAGGGAAAGCAAACAAGGTAATGCAGAAGCCCAGGGCACTCAGCCGTGCGCCACCTGGGCACAGCCTTACCATCATTCTGACGGATCCGGATTCGGTTTTGTGGCAAAACCTGCCTGTGCTGACTCCTTTTATGCAACCTACAGCCAAACAGTACCTCTTGGCAAGGTGTCTGCATTCTCCCTGTGACCATAGGAGTATAATAAATAACAAAGAGAGTTTGGAGGAAGCAAGTTTGTTTAGGCTAGTATTTAGCATATATCTGAGAGTGGATAGCAGGATTATATTTAGAACTCTGGGACTCTTTGTGAGATCTAGGTAGACAAGTAATTATTGAAAAAAAAAAAAAAGACTATTTATCCTAAGGTGATTTTTAACAGCTTGTCCTCTGCAGTCTAGAAGCCAAGAGGATAGACATGTGAAGAAATAATTCACAGTTTAGATGTATATCTATCACTGGAGAAGTCTATAAAGAAACACTAGAAAAGTCTATAAAGTACTAAGGTAGCTACAAGGAAAGAGAGACCTATTTATCTGGGGAAAGAAAGCTGTAATCAAGGGCAACGCCACAAAGCCGGTTGAGTCTTAAAAGATGAAAAGTAAATTGTCAGAAGAGCCCAGGGAAGCATTTCAGATGAAGGAATTGATAAAAGTATAAAAAGGAAGAGGAATTTGTAAACTAAGAATAATAATGTAGTTGAAGCTTGGCATGTTGTTAAAAGGTACTGTGATGAAGTAGAGAAGAGAATATACTGTGACTTTATATGTCTGCCCTGTATTTTGAAATTCTGTTTGGTTTCTGATTGTTTTTTTCACTGATGCTTGGGTGAATTCATGAATGAATCTTTGAGGTGTTTGTGTGCCTGTATCCTGGTGACATCTGGTGTTTCCCAAATGGTTTGCTGAAGTTTTTGATCATTGGAAGTATTTCTTAAACAAGTAAATATTCATCTGAAGATAAATTTCGACTTCAGCTGTCATTTGGTACAATGCTTTAAATCTGTGTTTTAAGTAAACATTACGTTTTTTGTCTACATATTCTAAGTAATTTTAACTAAACATGCAGATTTGTCAGGAGAACTAGACATGGAAGAACAAGAAAAACTTCATGGAAATGAAAATAACCATTCACAGGTAAGGAAAACTATAAGTTTAAATTTCTGGTTTAATACCATTTTCTATGCTTTACCAACACAATACAGTGTGTAACAGAGTCCATAACAAATAAAATCACCTTTCAAAATTACCCTTTTAGAAATGATAGGTAATAATTTAATAATTTTAATTTTTTAATTTAGTAGTTTTTATATTACTTAATATAATAATTTAATTTAATAGTTTCATAATTTATTAGTTTTTATAGCACTTTAATTTTACAACTTAAAGTACTGTTAGAATCTATTATAATTTATAGCTCGTCTTTGGAATTGAGGGGAAAAAATTTCCTGACTTGTTTACTTCTTCCATTTTTAAAACTTCATTACATGCATAAGAAGGTGATATCAAAGACTGAATCGTAAGATTAAGCAATTGAAATTATGAACAATATGACGGTCCCTGACCTAGATACATGTAAAGAGAAATCATTCCCAGTGGCTCAAGGTTTTCCATTGAAATCACCGCTCACTGACGTCAAGATGCAAGATTCATTCTGCCTGTGATCTCGGCATAATTGACTTAGGGATGAACATTCAGGGAGAGAGTGGGGTCATAGAATCAACCCAGTTGCCTATTAAGAGAATCGAAACTTCTAGATTGGACTTTTGTTTTTAGGGTACAAATAATAACGTTCTAATATTTCATTTTGGGGTGGGAATCAGTAGATATTACTAAAAATGCTTTATCCACTTTCTTTGGCGGATATTAGAACATAATATAACTGAATGTCGGGGCTTCCCAGGTAGCTCATCTGGTAAAGAATCTGCCTGCAGTGCAGGAGACCCCGTTTCAATTCCTGGGTCGAGAAATTTCCCTGGAGAAGGGATAGGGTACCCACTCCAGTATTGTCGGGCTTCCCTGGCGGCTCAGACAGTAAAGTATCCACCTACAATGTGGGAGACCTGGGTTCGATCCCTGGGTTGGGAAGGCATGGGTTGAGGAGGGTGTGGCAACCCACTGAAGTCTTCTTGCTTGGAGAATCCCCATGGACAGAGGAGCCTGGTGGACTACAGTCCTTGGGGTCGCAACGAGTCAGACACGACTTAGCACACACATAACTGAATGTAAGCAGGCAATATGTATTGATGTATAGCACTATCATAATATATAATTTACATGAAAAATTAGGAATTGGTTCCTCTTTCTGATTAGTGTTCATTGACTTTGGCTCCTGGTCATATAAAGTTTGTCTGTTCTCCAGACATTAGTCCTTAAAAAAGAAAACCAAAACCCTTAACAGACATGCTGTAGGGACTCTGCATATATGGTATCGTGAGGTGAACTATTTTTAAGGGAAGAAGCATGTATAACATTAAAAATCATCTAATTCATTTTTGGTAGATTTAACATGTATGAATTGTTTAATTCAATCAAGCAGTGACAAAATTGGGTTTGTGGGTTAATGTTTTTCTCCTATTTTCCGGTAAGGCAAGTTATTTTTCACTTCTTAGTTGTGATCTGGTGATTTGTGCATAGTTACATATAAATTAAGAAGTTTAACAGTGAAATTTTAATGATTTTCTGGTTTTTATTTATCCATACTGGATTACTTAAGGATTCTATTATTTTGCACACATGTACCCTGACAGAAAAGACTCCTGAAAATCAAATCAACCCAATTAATCTTCCACTTTTGCAGCTGCAAAAATTGCCTCAAGAACCAGAAATGAATAAGGAATGTGGTAGACAGGACAGATCTGTATGTTCAAGGCCTCCTTGTGTGGAGAAGTATGAGAAAATGTGGATCAAACAAGGCAAATTAGAAAGAGAAGTTAAAACCATCACAAATGACTTAAAGCAGAAGTTAGGTGAAGTTTGTGAGAAATACAAAATTATCATCTGTCCTAAGGAGGAGCCACTATATGATCACCTTAAAGAAGGAGCAAACAGAAAGGAAATACCTCCTAACATGACAAATAATATACCTGATTGTGGGGAGAAAGAGGCATTTGGAGTATCTGTCTCTCTAGTATTCTAAGTATGTCCTGAACAAAAAGAACCCAGTCTCGAAAATGGTTTTTCGTCGCATGAACTATGGGTCCACAGGATACGCTTGTCAGTCATCTTCCAAGCTTTGTTTCAGTGAAAATAAAATAGACCTTGAAAGTGATAAACTAGATATTGAACATGTGTTTATCAAAAATGAGGAGAGTTTTTATAATGATGCAGAAAATAAAAAAGTAGGGGACCAGGTAGTTACATTTGAAGTGAAAGATGACCAAGACTTTGATATGCAAATCTCAGACAATATGAGGCAAAATCCCACGAATCAGAAATTAGACATTGGACAGACACATCAGGCTAGTCTGTGGCTTGTCTGCTCCGGTAAGATGAAACACATAATTCAAATACAAAGTCACGGTACTCCTGCTGTCATGAAAGATACTGATAAGAAAAGCAAACCAATACAGGACTGGTTCCAGAAGCTACTGCATGCAGGTAATTGCCGTGCTAGTGATGATGAAAGTGTGGAACCCGTTTGAAAAATGGGAATTCTTCTCCACCAAATAGTCACAGAGCATCCAAAGTGTATCTAAGTGAAGAATGACAGAAGGATATGCAGAGGTTTACGAGTGAAATAGACATGTTATAAGTAGTGTTGTTAGCTTTGGACAAAGAGAAAATTCAGCTTCCAAAAGAGGTAGAGGTTCATTTGCTCTTGCTTTGGTTTTTCCCTTTCTGGATGATCTGGTCCATTTTGATTTTCTACTTATGAATAAAGTGGGGTCATCTAAATAGGTAATTGTGTAGAAATAGATTATTTCTGCCATCCAAATAATAGGAATTCAGGAAACTGTTTTCATAGCTTTCTTCCTTCAATCAGTCTAATGCTGTCTCTGTCAGTCTTTCATATGGACTGGGAAACTCATTTAGCTCCATATCATGTGACCTTCTGAGCCAGAATAAGCACCAAGGAAAGTGTTTAAGGAGTATGATCAACTAAGGTTTTGCATTTGTTGTTGGTTTTTTTTTTTTTTCACTCTGTTGGATAAAATGTAAGTTGTATTTCCACAGAATGGGAAGAAAGCAGAAACAGAGAAGGGGCATGAACATGTGTTCCCTCTAATCTCTTCATTGTGATTGAATATGTGTGATCTTCTCTGCTTTCCCCAGTCCCTGGGCACTTAGATTTCCAACATGGCCACCTCAGGATGTTTTTAATAACAAATACATGCACTCCCACCTATGCTTTAATCACCACTCTCAGATGTCTCTTTTGAGAGAGACTGCTTCACAATGTTGTTTACTAAAATGTAGTAAGTTTTGACATGTGTGATTTTGTCACATAGGTAGTATGTGCGTGTGTGAGAGTTGGTCAGTCGTGTCTGACTCTTTGTGACCCCATGGACTGTAGCTGGCCAGGCTGCCCTGTCCACGGATTTCTCCAGGCCAGAATATCATTGGAGTGGATAGCCATTCCCTTCTCCACGGGATCTTCCCAACCCAGGGATTGAAGCCAGGTCTCCTGCATTGAAAGCAGATTCTTTAACCTCTGAGCCACCAGGGAAGCCCATAGATAGTATAAACTCTCAGCAAAAAAAAAAAAAAAAAAAGAAAAAAGAAAAAAATCAAGTGTTTATCGCCAAAGGAAAAACTGAGATTTGAGATGCTGTGAGATTTTTCTTTCTTCAGTAGTACGTTTTTAAACGTGCTTGCTCTTCTGTGTAAGACCAAAAAAAAGAGAAAAATGTAGCTATTCTCCTTTAAAGAAAAAGGAGAATGAACCCTACCCCCAATTAATGAATTAAATTACTTTGCCAAAGTCACGCTTTGAACTTACCTGATTCATTTGAGGAATTCATTTGGTAATTTTATCAGATTCAAGATGACAGAATTGTATCATCTCTTTTGGTGCCATAAAATGTTAGGGAATGCCACTTTAGGGGCTTTGAACAACTCATTTACCCTTTTTGATTTTAAAGCTGTTATTGGTAAATAGTGGGGCAAAGATAGATAGGTATTTCTATACACTCTAACTATAAAATTGGATGGTTATTGAATGTGGAATTGGGAAGCATTCCTTATATTCCAGAATTCCACACTAACTAACACCTCCTCAGTTTCATCCTGCTCCTTGTGTTTTGGTAAACTTTGGGTCATATATTTCAGTGAACACCATCAGGTTTTTTGCTATCTCCTGGATCCAAATGAAAAAAGAATTGGAAAAGGCAGTGGGGAAAGAATAGCTTTAGTGCAGAAAGAAGAAAGCTTCTTTTCTGTTTCTGAGGCACTAAGGTGTCACATCCTCTACATCTGACTGTTCAATGGAAAATCCAGGTGGTAAAGACTGAAGAGGACATATGTGGTGTGTTTTTATTTCTCTATCTCTGCCAGTCAGATGGGGAAGACTGGATGTGAATAATTGTATCTTATTAAGAAAGCCATTCTTGAAATTTTGGGAATTTTGTTTCTTTCCCTCAAAGAGAAAGAAGCACATTTTACAACACTTTCAGTGACTTGTGATAAAATTAATGTAAGCACAAAAATATTTTTATCACTTAAAACCCGGGCAAATGCTGAGTCAAATAATAAATTGAAAACAGAGTCTTTAGAATTAAGTAATAGCAATTATTCTTAGTGTCAAACTTTCATTAAAGGTTGAAGAAGAAAAGAGGCACAAAAGTAGAGAAGTGGAAGTATCAGACCACGTATGCGATGCTGCTGATGAGAGTCAATTGATTCAGCAGAGAAAGAGTGGAGGAAATAACAAGCAGGAGTTTCCTGCTATGGAGAATAAAGGTTCTGATGGGTAAGCCTATATCAATATCTAACAGTAGGCCATTTGTTATTTTCCGGTAAAATGATTTCTAACTTGAGCTAATGTTTGTGATTTACGAATTTTATATTTTACTAGGGGTATAGTTATTTTGAACACTCTTATCCTTTAGCCTTCATACTAGTTGCTTTGTTAATGTACCACCATGTTACATATTAGAGTATTCTGGATTTGACTGCCTACTTACCTTAACCAGTGTGTTGTATATTTAAATTTATTTTATGTCACTAATGAACATCCTTTCATTTCAGTTTGAGGACTTCTTTCAGCATTTCTTATGAGGCGAGACTAGTGGTGATGAACTCCCTCAGGTTTGCTTTGTCTGGGAAAGCTTTTGTTTCTCCTTCATTTCTTAAAGACAACTTTTCTGGATCGAGTCCTCTTGGTTGGCAGTTTTCTCCTCCTAGCACTTTGAGTATGTCCATGGATGGAGGCCAAATTGCTGTTGGTGGCAGGAGAACTGATGAGGCACCTGCCTTTCATCCATGATGCTGATGTCACCCCATCATGTGGGTGGTTTACAAGTAAACTGCCCCCCGCCCCGCTAAATTTGATTTCTTCTTTCACGGTGGATGTGCCACATGCCATTTTAAAAATCATCTAAATTAAGTGTTACTTTTTTCTTTGAGGTTTTTTTTTTTTTTTTTTTTTTTGTAATTTCTTTGGCTGCGCTGGTTCTTTGCAGCCGCAGTGCTTGGGCTTCTCATTGTGGTGGCTTCTCTTGATGCTGAGCGTGGGCTCTAGGGTGCTGGCTTCAGTGGTTGTGGAGCACATTATTCATTGCTCTGCGTGAGGCATGTGCTGTCTTCCCTGACCATGGATCGAACCTGTGCCCCCTGCATGAGCAGGCAGATTCCTAAGCACTGGAGTACCAGGGAAATTCCTAGGTCAAACATTACTGTTTTTAAAAGCAAAGAATTATATATAGTGTAAATCTAATCATGACTCCCATGTCTAAGAATCATTGTGCTTAGCCAGTGGACTCGAGGTTTTCAGTGTAGCCCTTGAGGTTCTTCCCAATGTCTTTCCAGGTGCATCTCTCTACTTTCTTTCATGTGTTTTGTAGTTTTCCTTCCAGGTTTCTAGGAAACAACCCCAGATGCCATGTGCCTGATCTGTGTACTCACATTCTAATCTCCCAGTAGAATGATTTCTTGCTCTTCTCTTCCTTTTGACCTCCTCTCTTCACTTCTTCCATAAAGCCTTCCTTAGTTCACTTATCACTTTCATATGTCAACTCTTACATATCATATTGTATCATAATTGTGTGTCTGTGTTTGAAGGAAGAATTTGTTTTCTTGCGTATGGTTGATACTTCATAACTGTTTTGTGAACTAATCAATGATTTCAGACGGGTAAGAGTTGGAATTTTGCAAGAATTGTTTTTTTATTCTTTATTAGTCGAATTACTTGAAAACATTGGCTTTTTTTGTGGATTTTTTTAAAAGTAGCGATCCTGGCATGCCCAGGAAGAAGATAGAGAAAAAGAAAAATGACAAATGGACACCAGAAGAATGTGTGATTGTACCAGTATTTGAAAAGACCAATTCACTGACTGATGGGCTGCTGCACGTGAAGGATGACAGCATTTTAAGGAAAGTGTATCAAGATGACAGCAGGTAACATGGACAAATTCTTTATTTCTAGGGGAAGAAATATTAGCCCTGAATACTTCTTCTGGAAATAGAGCAGCATAATATAGCATACAGGCCAAGAGAAGAGAATCCTCAACTCTACTGGATGAACATGGCAGAAAGGTGAAGGAGAGGATCCGAGCCTTTGGCCGGAAGTCGTTTCAGTGAATAGTCCACTTGGAAGCTGGACTGCAGTGAACACAAGTAAACAGCTCCGTAGGGAATATATCCTGGGCCAGGAACGGAGGCCTGGATGGTAACTGAAGAGCAATGTGGAGTTGAAAGGAGTTTCTTGTTTCATGTTCAGAGAGGAGCTTGTAGATATGTATGCTGTTGGAAATGAGCCAGCGGAGGAAGTGTCTATTGAGTTTAATCTTACCTGCATTCCCAATATTAGAAAGCTTATTGATTGTATGACATTATCTTTAAACTATTACAATAAATTAATTGTGCATTATTATTGTACATGATCATTATGTACATATGTACTTCTGTTCATATGTAGTTCTTGGTAAGGGCTTGCTCATTGGCTCTGAAGTGTAATATTCTTATGTCAATGAATATGTAGATGATTACTTAAGTTAATTCTATCATACATAGATTTTAAAAAATTATATAATCATGAATTTACAAATACTTAGGTTATACTGAATAGGATTTAATCATTTCTTGTTGATTCTAGTTGATAGTATCATCGTGGGTAGCTATGATATTGTAAGGTACTCTGAAACATCACATTATATTAATTTCATAGTTGTTTATAGCTTGCAGGGAAAAGGGGAGGATTTTGTATATTTTCAATAGAAACAATTCACAATCTTTTACAGTTTATTACTTTGGATGATAAAGATCTAAATGACAAAAGCCATGCTTCCTGTACTAAAGTGTCGTTAACACATATTATGTGCTCCATAAGTGCATGTCAGATGCATGAAGAAACAGCAGAATGGCTGCACGAACGTGTATTGATGAATTTCTTTACAAAAAACAAATCTTTATTGAAAGTAGATTTCCAATATTGCCTACATCTAGTGTTTTTGTTTCTTAGAAATGTTTTAAGATTCAGAATTATCATTTGTAGTTATAGCTAGACATGAAATAATAATAGAGATTCACTTGGTATCATATTACTTAAAAAGACTTTTCAATATCACTTTCTCAGAATATTTTGGAGCAGCAGCATTCAGGCCAGATTTCCTGGGTTTGAATTCTGGGCTGTTGGTGAACTTCTGTGTGGTCCTGGGCACATTCCTCAGCCTTTCTTTGCTCCATCTCTTCCTATATAAAGGATCTAATATATTACCTCTCTCCCAGAATGATCGTGAGCATTAAAATGCATAATATGCATAGCCGTTGCATAATAAGCCCTCAAAAAGCTAATATCCTGGTGATAAAAAAAATGGGTTTCTTTTTTATAAGGACTTAGGGAATACTTTGGAGATAGGTTTTATTGCCATAAAAGTTAGTTCTTATTAAAAAGGACAACTGCAAGAAGCCCCGGTAAACTGCTTCCGTCACATAACGCAAGTAATGTTAGGTTTTTCCTTTTCCATTAATCTAAATTTAATGTTTCATTACTATTATAGATATATTTTCTTTGTCCTTTAATGCAGCTCTTTTTTTTATTGTTTCATCCTTTTATAAAAATTACTTATGAATGCAAAGATGTTATATAAAAATCAAACATTTAAGTATTGTTTATATTTTTGAGTTATCAAATTTTAGCCTGAAAAGAATCTTTTTTTTTTTTAGGCCTGCAAGGGAAACAGCATATGAAAAGAAGAAGGTAAAGTAAAAAAAAAAAAAATTAACTTTAAAATATATAATCTTCTATAAAATAGTTTGTAAAAGGGATAGTGGCAACATAGAAAATCTTCCTTTGTTGAAGAGACATTTACTTTGAAAACATAACTTAGAAACTCTGTTGATAAAGTTATCCTGTTGATAAAAACCTGTTCTTTTAAGAAGCCTCTTCTTTTGCTTTGATTAAGATATTTATCACCTTTGTAAACTTGGTATATTTTATACATATTTTAAGGACATTGTGAAACAGTATTATTTATGTGTAGGTCAAAGACCAAATTGATTACGTGAGTGACCTTGATGACTTAACTCAGTCATCTGAAACTCAGTCATCCGAGGCTGGCGACATGCTTTACTCTAAAACTTCCCCATTGCCATCTGGCAGGTGGCTGAGGGTCGTGGACCCCCTCCCTCTGTGCCCGTCTGCCCTCAGTCCACCTGCCCCGTGAACAGCTCAGAGCTGTCTCCAGCTTTTCCAGCTGGGTTCTCCCTCACAGTCGAGTCCTCAAGGACAAGTGTGTTTAACAGGCATCATCGCGAGATGCAGGAATGCTCCCCGTGGATTTTTTCCAGCAGTTGGTAGATACCAGACACTCTTGAAGTTGATTGTCCTTCTTTCTGCAGAGCTTTCGAGTGGCATCTCAGAGCAGAGGAACTCACTCCCCCACCCAATGTCCCTCTCAAACACGGACCAGGTCTCATCCCCCAGGTCCTAGCAGCAGATCTCCCACAGCGAAAAGCTTTCGGGAAGAGCTGGGGAAAGTAGCATTTGTAATTCAAATCCATTTGTCTACAGCGGTCAGGTAGGGACACACCATGGCCTCATCCAAGGAGAGGCCTTCAATATTTTCCATAGGAATTAATCTCAAAATTTTTGCGACTGTCTCGAAGGAGCCGGGACCCTGACTGCGGCTTAGGCCAGGCAGAGCGCTTATGCTCCCCCGTCGACTGCGCTGCACACCATGCCCTTGTGCTCTGCGGGGAACGTGTGCGTCCCTCCTCGCCCGCATCATCTCCGGTGTCTCAGTCAGAGTCCGCCCCTGGCTCCACTCTCGTTTCTGTAACCAGTGCCCTGTCAACGGCTTTTTCACATCGTTTACAGTTTTTCAGTTTGTAAAAGCTGCAGCATCAGTTGTAAAAATACTTTTGTACACTTTAAAAAAATGTTTCTTTGGAATAAACTTATAAAAGTCCCCCTCCCACCAAGGAAAAAAAGTAAAAAAAAAAAAAAAAACAACTCTTGCTCTTAACAGCAGCTATTCTGGTTTATAGTAGTGATTTCCCTTCCTTGATCATTAGGTTAATTTATCACTTCCACTGAAGGTAAGGAGGAAAAGTAGAGGCAGTTCAGAGGCCATACTTTGGAAGTCATTCTTGTACTTCTGAGAAAACGAACCCTCATTCTGTGTAGTGTCCTCCTTCAGTACAAGGAACTTTTGAAAACAGTGATAGATATGCCATAGTATACATCTAGTGATAATTATGTTTCTCATTGTATTCCCCCATCTTACTGTTTTAAACAGTATGAAGATATAATGAGAGTTCCTGCAGCAGAAAACAATCTCATGATTCTCTAAGAAGAGCTCTCTAAATTTTACCTTATTTACCATTAGTGTATATACCATGAATGAAATAGGATGAGTATTTTGTATTGATGTGTTTGTACTAGAGAAGTGACTGTGGTTTGATGTAAGAGGACTAGTGGAGTCAGAAGACCTGGTGAAAAGCCTGCAGCTTACTTACATAGTTTTAACTTCTTCCTTTCCAGAATCATTATCGCTAATGAGGTAATTGATGTTTGTAGAAGTGCTTAGTACAGTTGTCAATAGGTATAAGCCTTGTAATTGCCTTTTAAAATGTTAGAAAGGTAGCATATTCTCAAGAAAACAATTTTTGCATGAAATTTCATCTATTTAAATATGTACAGAGCTAAGGCTCTTACTTGAAGTAGCTGTGTAGGAGCTATCAGATGCAGTTTTAAAGGGAGCGAGTGGTGGTGTTATGGGATTGTAGTTGATTTACAATATTGCGTCAGTTTCAGGTGTACAGCACAGTGATTCAGACATATATGTATATGCGTGTGTATATTATGTAAATGGGGCTTCCCTGCTGGCTCAGACTGTAAAGAATCCCCCTGCAATGCAGGAGACCTGGGTTCAATCCTTGGGTCGGGAAGATCCCCTGGAGGAGGAAATGGCAACCCACTCCAGCATTCTTGCCTGGAGAATCCCATGGACAGGGGAGCCTGGCGGGCTCAGTCTGTGGGGTCGTAAAGAGTTGGACATGACTGACTAACACACACACAAACACACACACATATTGCTTGTCAGATTCTTCCTGGAGAATATTAAATGTAATTCCTTATGTTGTACAGTAGATCCTTACTGGTTATTTTATATACACTTGTCTATATATAATGGTATATGTTAAACCCAACCTCCTAATTTATCCCTTCCCTACCCCCTTTCCCGTATGGTGAGTAAGTTTGTCTCCTACGTCGGTGGGTCTCTTTCTGGATTGTCAATAAGTTCATTTTAGATTGCACATATAAGCAGTATGACTTGTCTTTGTCTGACTTACGTCGCTTAGTGTGATCATGCCTAGGTCCATCTTTGTTGCTGCAAATAGCATTATTTCATTCTTTTTATGGCTTTGTAGTTTTCCATTATATAAATATACCACATCAGATGCAATTTTTAGGTGTAGTTAGATCTATAAATCTTTTATTTTAAGCTTTCTGGGTATGTTGTAATTCAGAGAAACCCTTTCCAGTTCTGAGCTCCAAAAGTCTCTTGGGCTTTCTCTGTCCTTTCATGGATTCATTGTCTTCAATTAAATGTTTGAACCTTTGGGAATTTCTGCTTGTATAAGGTCTGAGGTTTGTACTGAACCTTATTTTTTCCATTTGGATATCCACTTGGTGCAGTCTTTTCATTGTATAAACATACAGGTTAGTCTTTCATTTCAGAGGAAATGGTGAAATGTCATTTTAGTGAGTACTAACTCAAAGTCTCCTTTGTCTCACTTAGGTTTCTGATAGTGGTAGAAAGGCAAAAGGTCTGTTGCGCAAAAGCCACATGCAGGATGAAATTGCCATGCCAAGATTAGAAATAGACACAGGGAAAAATCAGAACCAGGAGAAAGAAAAGAAATGTTTTGAGGGTACTGAAATTGTAAAAGGAGAGAATGATTATCCTCAAAAGGCAATAAAATTGAACAAGGAAATGTTGACAAAGGCCATATTCCAGCATCCTGGCCAGCTTACCATTCCGGTAGCTGAAAATACAATGCTAAACCCTGAGCTGGAGAATGCAAAGCGAAGCAAAGAAAGACTGGAAACAGAAGTGGAATCCTACCACTCTAGACTGGCTGCTGCCATACACAATCGTGATCAAGGTCAGATATCACAAAGAAACCTGTCACTTGCCTCCCAGAAAGCAAAAGACAAGACGTTACGCTTGCAGGACCCAATGAAGTTCGATATGGCTAAGCTGAAAAGTGACAATGAGATGCTTTCCCAGGGACTTTCTAAAGTGGAAAATCAATTCAATACGCTAAAAATCAAGCTGCATCAGACGAGAGATGATCTCGGAGAAAAGACTTTGATGTTAGAACCTGTCCAGAGAGACTTACTCCAAGCAGAGCATCAAAAGCAGGATACTGGACACATGTATCAGATTGAACAAGGCAAAGTGAAGGAATATCTTGGAAAGCAGGAATCCTTAGAGGAGAGGTTATCTCAACTCCAGAGTGAAAACATGTTGCTCCGACAGCAGCTGGAAAATGCACAAAATAGAGCTGACAGTAAAGAGAAGACAGTCATTAGCATCCAAGACCAGTTTCAGCAGATCATGAAAAATCTTCGTGCTGAACATGAGAAACAAGGTCTGATGCTGGAGGAAAGAAACAAGGATTTAATCAACAAATGTAGTTATTTAGAAGAGAGTGTGTGTCAGTATGAAAATAAGAAAGCAGAAAGAAAAGTAAGTATCCAGAAGGAGAAATAATTCTCAGACTTCCTGAAAGAAATTCAAAGTGATTCTTAATTCTGGCTAAACGTTGAATCTAGCTGAATATAAAAAATACACAGGCTATGAGTCTGTGGTCTCTAAAACAGACTAAAAAGCACACCTTGTATCCAGCAAATAAAAATTAGGCCCGAGAGATGCTTCACTTTGAGTAGAGACATCGTGTCACTTATGAAATGTTAAGAGATTAAATCCTAAATTTTTAATATAGACAGGTATTAGTAATTTACTCTTTTACTATTCAGAAAATAATTTTAATCTCTATATAACCACATGTCAGTATCATGATGAAGCAGATAAAAGAAACGCTCAAACCTAAACTGAATATTTTGAAATTAAGCTTCAGTTACATGGATTACCTTGACAGTCAATTCCATGTTTCCCAGATGCTATCACTTATATATAGTACTTTGGTTTCAGTAGCTTGCCATACCTTTCTGTCATATTTGTTGGTATAATTTTAATTTTGTTCATGTAAATTTGAATTAACTTGTAAAACATTTCAGGCTTGAGTCATTTATTCTTATGACCTCTCAACTCTTTAAGGAGTTGTCATTAAATTGAGAATTCATTGACAAGTCATTTAAGTATACTTGTCATTAAATCATAATTTGGGAGTCAAGTGGTGAGCTTTAACCAAGCTCTTCTTGTTTTAATCTTCCGACTGCTATTTACTTAGAATATGTTTACAAACAATTTACTCATAATTCTCGTTTTAAGGATCAATTGCTATTCTTTGAATACCAGATTGCCCAATAAAAATGAAGGGTGGCAGGACTTGAGAGCAGCAATAATGGAGTGAGTCAGGGAGAGGGCTGTACGGGCTGTGGTCCAGAGGCAGGTGGAGGCCAGGCTATCTAGGCTCCTTGAGGGCCATGGGAGCAACCTCACTTGTAAATTGTATTTTTCCTTTTTTTTTTGTAGTGTAGTTGGTTTATACTTCTGCGTTAGTTTCGGGTGCACAGCACGTTGGTGCAGTTACACACGTATCCGTTCTCTCCCAGGTCCTCTCCCAGGCAGGTGACTGCAGAGCACTGAGCAGAGCCCCCTGTGCTCCGCAGTGGGGCCTGGTGGTGAGCCAAGGGCAGAGGCAGGGAGGAAGGGGAGATTAAGAGTCTGGGATTAACATAGACACACGACCAGATATCAGATAGATAAGCCCCAAGGGAATGGCCTCATTTTTCTGCTGGGATAGGAATCTGTTGGAAAGATCTGAGCACTGGATTAAATATGTGAAGATCTCTGATGTTAATTGAAGGCTCTGATAAAGAAAGAGGAAAAATGTTTCCACAGGGTGGAATTTTCCACTGCTTGTCCCACCTACACACCTGTTTCATTCTGGACGTGAGGTGGTGGAGCTCTGCAGATTTATCGGGAGGGGCAGGGCGTGGACAGTGGGGCTGCCTCCTTCGTCTGAGGAACTTAATATCAGGAAGGCCGGTGGGGGGCCCTTCTGGGTCTGCAGCCACATTCAGGGAGGAGGGAAAGAAGGTGAGTTGCTGTGTGTGGTGATAGTTTTCAAAGTCCATATGTTGGCATTATGTATTACTAACACAACGTCATAATAAAGTGATTTGATAAACTCAGTGACAGAGAATCTTATTAGGCAGTTGTGAGACAACTTTGGCAAGAACTGGCTGATAGCCTCAAAAAGCAGTCTGCGTCAGAGGCGTCCCTGGAGGTCATGTCACGTTATCATGCGAAGTTAGAAGTTGAGGCACGGGATTTAAAGAACTTACATCAACTCACAAGTCAGGTATGTGTGAAACTGAATGTGTCGACAGTGAATACATACGATAAAGTGTTTTAGGACGCTCTTTTTCATGGACAGTTTCCTTTTTTATTTTCATTACTAGTAATTTACTATAATTTTTTTTAAATCTTTAAGTGCACTCATTTCTTAAACTCTGACTTTCATTCTGCCATTTGCATTATATATATTGTTTTCGTATATTATATACCCTTAGGAAAGTGGAGAATTGTGCATCATTCTTCACACAACTTGAGAGACTTCTTTTTCTTTCTTTCTTTTTTTTTTTTTTTTGGAGTTCTTTATTTTTTAAAAATTTTTATTAGTTGGAGGCCAATTACTTTACAAAACAGTGTAAAGTACAAAAACCACAAAGCAGTGGTTTTTGCCATACATTGACATGAATCATCCATGGACTTACATGTGTTCCCCCTCCTGAACCCCCCTCCCACCTCCCTCTCCATCCCATCCCTCTGGGTCATCCCAGTGCATCAGCCCCGAGCACTTGTCTCATGCGTCCAACCTGGACTGGCGATCTATTTCACACTTGATAATATACATGTTTCCATGCTGTTCTCTCAGATCATCCCACCCTCGCCTTCTCCCATAGAGCCCAAAAGTCTGTTCTATACATCTGTGGAGAGACTTTTTCTTCGATTGAACAATATTTTATTTCATGATCCCTGAATTACCATGATGAGGCAAGCCAGATAAAATCAGAGGATAATGTTTAATGGAATGTTCCAGAAAATTATCATTTCTCATCTTCACTTTTCTGAATGGCGGTGCAGTTCTGTATATATTTATTTTGTGCATTTCAGAATAACTTGTGCAGAAAGTGTATTATACAAACCAGTTGAAGTTAGGCACTGCCTTCTCTTCCTTTTCGATACATTGTAAAAGCATGGGGTACTCAGATGGAGTATAACACCTACATCGAAAATAGAGAATTAAGAAGATTATCTAGATGGTGCCTTTGGATTTTTAAAAAGCTATTGAGATATAATTCACATATCATATAATTCACCCATTCCAAGTGTGTAGTTCAGTATCTCTTAGTCTAGATAGGTGTCACCTGTGACCACAGTCAATTTTAGAACATTTCTACAACCCCAAAAGAAACCCTGCATCCCTTAGCTACCTCCTATGACCCCCCATCTCCCTCAGACCCAGGCAACCCCCAGTCTAATATCTTTCTCTGTAGACATGCCTGTTCTGGGTGTTTTATATAAATGGAATCGTGCAGTATGCTCCTTTGGGATTAGTTTTTCTCATCTGATGTTGTTTTGCGGTTCATCCATGTTATAGCACATATCAGTTCTTCCATTTCTGTTGACTGTCAAACAATAAACAGTACGTGGCTATATTTATCCATTCATAAGTTGATGGAGATTTGAGTTGTTCCCACTTTGTGACTATTAATAATGCTGCTGTGAACATTGGTTTACGCATTTCTGGATGGGCATGTTTTTATTTTCCTGTGGATGGATTTTGTCCTCAGAGTTCACTGGCTGATTTCACCTTTCCTTGACCTTTGCTCAGATTGTCCTTTCTGTCTTCAGAGTTTCTTTTCCTCTTGGGTAGGCCTCCATTTATTCAGACCTGGTGCCCAGTCTCTCCTCCTCCATGGAGCTTTCCTGACTGTCCAGCTCTCATTGAGCCTTTTCTCTTCAGCCCTGTCATGTAGTGTGTGAAGAACAATCTAGCCCTTAGTTTTGCATTGTTGTAATTGTTTTCATGAGGGAGAATCTTCTCTGGGTATACGTTGGTCTAACAGGGAATATTTGTTGATAGGCACAGCACTTGTCTTGCATAAATGGAAAACAGTTTAGCTTAACAATTGTTAGGACAAAACTAAGTACTTCATGCCATGCCAGTTATTTCTTCTTGAAGATGTTTGTATAGTAAAACTTTTATTAAAATGTATTTTTAGCAACTCAATGTAAAATTGAAAGCGCTTAGTCTAATAGAGGAGAACTGCTCAATTAAAAGCTCATTTTTCTCCCTGACTCTGGGAGAAAAGTGTAAATTTGCCTTCCTTCGTTATGTAGGCAGAAGTGGGATTTACAGATTTCTAGCCTTTCGCCAAATGTAAAGTTCTGGGAATAGCCTCCCTGATATCCGTACCTTGTAACCTGAATTGTCTCACCGGAGTGCTTGCTAGACATTAACAGCTGTGGGAATGAATTGACTCAGAACTTTGATTTAGCAGTAGGGTAATATTTCCATGGCAGTGACTTCACCCTTCTTCCTCTGACGGTCATGTAAGTTCTGCACCACACTCTGTCCAGGAGGTGCTATGTGCATATTAACCTGTGGTCATTGTCCACTGAGTAGTACAGAGAGGAAGTAAGTTACAAATTACTGTAAGTGGAGAAAAGTACTAGAGCACTAGCTGGTTAGTGGAGTCAGTGAACGGTTTTGAAGTTCTGGACATGTGTTCTGGGCCTCATGCTCCCCCTTACTGCCCCTTGCAACGGTATGGAGAGGGATTTCAGGGTGACTTGTGTAGAAGACCACTTCTGTTGGCATGCCGTCTGCCTGAATTATCAAATTGTTTTGCAGGTAAAAATTCAGCGACTGTAATAACGCCAATTACAAACAGCTCTTAGTATCTGCCACGTCCTCTTCTAAATACATTATGTATAGTCCCCAGTTTAATCTTCCCAGCATCCCACTGAGGTTGATGCTACCACTATCTCCATGTTATGGATGGAGAACCTGAGATACAGAAGGTTAAGTAATTTGCCCCAGGACTCACAGCTCAGAACTGAGGGAATTGGAACACAGGCCCATGGATTCTGGCTTCCAGGTAGTTCCTGCCTCTCACACTAGTCCCTGAAGCATCTGGTTGTCACCAACAGCAGTGCTAGCTTTTATAATCACTGGAAGACCCGTGGTCATTCACCTATGTGGGTACTTAAAGTGATGGCTGATATGGAGCTTGGAATAAAAATATATGTATATATGTTCATCGTCAGGTAAAAATCTAATCTAAAGCATGAATGATTTTGTGTTTGAGTCCGAAAGGAGAGGTCAGTAACGAACAAAGGGCAGACAGTAAATATTTTCACTTTTTGGACTGTACGGGGTTTATTGTAACAACTCAACTCTACTGTATGGCAGGAAAGCAGCCATAAGCAGTATGCAGATGGGAGAGACAGAAACTGACATTGGCAGATTCACTAGGTTATTAGTAATTAAACAGTTGTTTTTTTCCTTTTTCTATTTTCAGTCTCAAGAAACACAGGATCAACATACAGAGGCCGTGAGATGTGCTGAAAAAACACAGGATCACATCCAAAAGTATGATTTAAAGCAGCACAGAAAACTTAAGTATACTTAAGTATACTTAAGTATAAAGCAGATAAACAGTATAATATGAGAATTAGATCAGTAATGATAATAAAAACATCATTGTGAAGCTGGGTAACATTTCAGCTTTGAGCTGTTTTGAGATGCATATTTTCCCCCATTATTTCCATATTTTGCACATTATCTACAAGTGAGAAGTGAAAGTCTTAGTCACTGAGTCATGTCTGACTCTTTATGACTCCACGGACCATAGCCCACAAGGCTCTTCTGTCCATGGAATTCTCCAGGCAAGAATCCTGGAGTGGTTTGCTGTTTCCTTGTCCAGGGTATCTTCCCGACTCGGGGATCGAACCTTGGTCTCCTGCATTGTTGGCAGATCCTTTACCGTCTGAGCCACCAAGGAAGCCAATTATCCACCAAACACAACTAGAAAAACAGTACAGCTGTCAAATCATTTACTTTTCAAAATTCTAAAAGCCTACATAATTGAACCTGCAGGTGTTTGTTCAGAAACAGTGTGGTATTTTAAAAATCTGTGTGTGAAGGACTGCCGTGACAGTCCAGTGGTTAAAACTATGCCTTCCAAGGCAGTATGTGTGGGTTTGATCCCTGGTTGGGGAACTAAGATCCCACGTGCCTCACAGCCAAAAAACCAAAACATTAACCAGATTTACTTTATTGCAGTAAATCAATAAAGGCTTTAAAAACGGTCCACATTCAAAAACATCTTTAAACAAGAAACCCTGTGTGTGAGAATCATTGTTTTAAAATCTGCATTTTTAGGCTTGAAATTGAAAATGCCGAGTTACAAACGACAGTCAAAAATCAAGCGGGCGAAACTGAACAGCTTCAGAAAAACCTCTTAAGTATAAGATTGGTAAGTCAACCTCTTAATTTCTGTCATACTGAGGAAGAATTTCAATTTTTTTAATAGAAATATATAAGAATATTTTGGACAATGTGGAAAGTCTCATTGATTAAAAAGTTTATGCTATTTTACTAATACTGTTTGCTACTATTAGCATCAGTTCAGTCGCTCAGTTGTGTCCGACTCTCTGCGACCCCATGAACTGCAGCACGCCAGGCCTCCCTGTCCATCACCAACTCCCGGAGTCTACTCAAATTCACACCCATCGAGTCCGTGATGCCATCCAGCCATCTTATCTTCTGTCGCCCCCTTCTCCTCCTGCCCCCAATCCCTCCCAGCATCAGGGTCTTTTCCACTGAGTCAACACTTCGCATGTGGTGGCCAAAGTATTGGAGTTTCAGCTTCAGCATCAGTCCTTCCAATGAACCTCCAGGACTGATCTCCTTTAGGATGGACTGGTCGGACCTCTTTGCAGTCCAAGGGACTCTCAAAAGTCTTCTCCAACACCACCATTCAAAGGCATCAACTTTTCGACGCTCAGCTTTCTTCAGAGTCCAACTCTCACATCCATACATGACCAATGGAAAAGCCATAGCCTTGACTAGACGGACCTTTGTTGGCAATGTAATGTCTCTGTTTTTTAATATGCTGTCTAGGTTGGTCATAACTTTCCTTCCAAGGAGTAAGTGTCTTTTAATTTCATGGCTGCAAACAGCATCTGCAGTGATTTTGGAAACCCACCCCCCCCAAAAAAAAAAAAAATCTGACACTGTTCCAACTGTCTCCCTATCTATTTCCCATGAGGTGATGGGACCAGATGCCATGATCTTAGTTTTCTCAATGTTGAGCTTTAAGCCAACATTTGCACTCTCCTCTTTCACTTTCGTCAAGAGGCTTTTTAGTTCCTCTTCACTTTCTGTCATATGGGTGGTGTCATCTGCATATCTGAGGTTGTTGATATTTCTCCCAGCAATCTTGATTCCAGCTTGTGCTTCTTCCAGCCTATCGCTTCTCATGATATACTCTGCATATAAGTTAAACAAGCAGGGTGACAATATACAGCCTTGATGTATTCCTTTTCCTGTTTCGAACCAGTCCGTTCTTCCATGTCCAGTTCTAACTGTTGCTTCCTGGCCTGCATACAGGTTTCTCAAGAGGCAGGTCAGGTGGTCTGGTATTTCCATCTCTTTCAGAATTTTCCAGTTTATTGTGATCCACACAATCAAAGGCTTTGGCATAGTCAATAAAGCAGAAATTGATGTTTTTCTGGAACTCTCTTGCTCTTCCGATGATCCAGCGGATGTTGGCAATTTGATCTCTGGTTCCTCCGCCTTTTCTAAAACCAGCTTGAACATGTGGGCGTTCATGGTTCATGTATTGCTGAAGCCTGGCTTGGAGAATTTTGAGCATTACTTTACTAGCGTGTGAGATGAGTGTAGTTACTCTTTATAGAAGAAATGGACTGAATTCATAAAGTTAATGATTTTTGTAGTAAGATTTTAATTTAAAAGTTTGTGACAATCCAGTCCAAAAGCAACATTTTATATTGAAAATATTCTGTTTGTTCATTCTCCAATGAAATCGGGGTTTTTCCACTTTCTGGCTATTGTTAATAATGCTGCCTTGAACATTGGTACACAAACATCTGTTCGAGTCTAGAAATTTGAGTAATGATCTGATTGAGAATTCTGTGTTTCTCTTGTAATCCTAACCCTTCTGTGAGATTTTTGAGAATGAATCATTTTTAATATTGTAGCTCATTCTCTTCACCAGGTGAATACTACATCTGTATAGAACAGTGTTTCTGAAAGAATGTATTTTTTTCTTTGTTGAATTTTTTTTTTTTAAAAAAGAGCTGGGGTGTGCATGGGAATTTTTCAAAGATTACTTTAGTAAGATGATATTGATCCTGGAATATCTTGAACCACTGATGAAAATTACTTTAGAGCATCTTTAGAAAGTAAAATATAATAGCCACACTTTAAAAACATTTCATCAGCATTTAGTATTTTATATTTCAGTTCAGTCGCTCAGTTGTGTCCGACTCTGCGACCCCATGGACTGCAGCACACCAGGCTTCCCTGTCCATTACCAACGCCCAGAGCTTGCTCAAAGTCATGTACATCGAGTTGGTGATGCCATCCAACCATCTCATCCTCTGTCGTCCCCTTCTCCTCCTGCCTTCAATCACTCTCAGCATCAGGGTCTTTCCCAATGAGTCAGTTCTTTGCATTGGAACTACAGCTTCAGCATCAGTCCTTCCAATGAATATTCAGGACTGATTTCCTTTATGATGGACTGGTTTGATCTCCTTGCAGTCCAAGGACCTCTCAAGAGTCTTCTCCAACACCACTGTTCAAAAGAATGAATTCTTCAGTGCTCAGCTATCTTGATGGTCCAACTTTTGCATGCATCCATGACTACTGGAAAAACCATAGCTTTGACTAGATAGACCCTTGTCGGCAAAGTAATGTCTCTGCTTTTTAATATGCTGTTTAGGTTGATCATAGCTTTTCTTCCAAGGAGTGAGGGAGGGTCTTTTAAATTCATGACTGCAGTCACCATGTGCAGTGATTTTGGAGTCCAAGAAAATAAAATCTGTCATTATTTCCATTGTTTCCCCATCTATATGCCATGAAGTCGTGGGACTGGATGCCATGATCTTTGTTTTTTGAATGCTGAGTTTTAAACCAGATTTTTCACTTTCCTCTTTGCCTATCATCAAGAAGCTCTTCAGTTCCTCTTCACTTTCTGCCATAAGGGTGTTGTCATCTGCATATCTGAGGTTATTTATATTACTTCCAGATATCTTGATTCCAGCTTTTACTTCCTCCAGCCTGGCATTTCGCATGATGTACTCTGCATAGAAGTCAAATAACAATATACAGCCTTGATGTACTCTTTTCCCAATTTGGAACCAGTTCATTGTTCCATGTTCGATTCTAACTGTTGCTTCTTGAGCTGCAGACAGGTTTCTGAGGAAGCAGGTAAGGTGGTCTGGCATTCCCATCTCTTGAAGAATTTTCCACAGTTTGTTATGATCCACACAGTCAAAGGCTTTGGTGTAGTCAATAAATCAGAAGTAGATGTTTTTCTGTAATTCTCTTGCTTTTTCTGTGATCCAACAGATGGATGTTGGCAGTTTGACCTCTAGTTCCTCTTCCTTTTCTAAATCCAACTTGTACATCTGGACGTTCTCATTTAATGTACTGTTGAAGCCTCACTGGGAGAATTTTGAGCATTACTTTGCTAGCATGTGAGATGAGTGCAGTTGTGCAGTTGTTTGACCATTCTTTGGCACTGCCTTTCTTTGGGATTAGAATGAAAACTGGCCTTTTCCAGTCCTGTGGCCATGGCTGAATTTTCCAGATTCGCTGGCATATTGAGTGCACCACTTTCAAAACATCTTTTAGGATTTGAAATAACTCAACTGGAATTCCATCACCTCCACTAGCTTTAATTGTAGTGATGCTTCCTAAGGCTCATTTGACTTTGCAATCCAGGATATCTGGCTCTAGGTGAGTGATCACACCATACTGGTTATCTGAGTCATGAAGATCTTTTTTGTTTAGTTCTTCTGTGTATTCTTGCCACCTCTTCTTAATATCTTCTGCTCCTGTTAGGTCCATACCATTTCTGTCCTTTATGTGCCCATCTTTGCATGAAATGTTCCCTTGGTATCGCTAATTTTCTTGAATAGATCTCTAGTCTTTCCTGTTCTATAGCTTCTCTCTATTTCTTTGCATTGATCACTGAGGACGGCTTTCTTATCTCTCCTTGCTATTCTTTGGAACTCTGCATTCAGATGATTGTATCTTTTCTTTTCTCCTCTGCCTTTAGCTTCTCTTTTTTTCTCAGCTATTTGCAAGGCCTCCTCAGACAATCATTTTGCCTTTTTGCATTTCTTTTTCTTGGGGATGGTCTTGATCACTGCCTCCTGTACAGTGTCACCAACCTCCGTCCACAGTTCTTCAGGCACTGTCTATCATATCTAATCCCTTGAATCTGTTTGCCACTTCCACTATATAATCATAAGGAATTTGATTTAGGTCATACCTGAATGGTCTAGTGACTTTCTGTACTTTGTTCAATTTAAGTCTGAATTTGGCAATAAGGAGCTCATGATCTGAGCCACAGTCAGCTCTCGGTCTTTTTTTTGTTTTCTTTTGCTGATTGTATCGAGTTTCTCCATCTTTGGCTGCAAAGAATATAATCAGTCAGACTTTGGTATTGACCACTTGGTGATGTCCATGTGTAGAGTCATCTCTTGTGTTGTTGGAAGAAGATGTTTTGCTATGACCAGTGCAGACTCTTGGAGGGCACAAACAAAACCTTGTGTGCACGAGGAGCCGGGAGAAAGGAGCAGTGTCCCCACAAGAGACTGAGCCAGACTTGCCTGTGAGTGTCCAGGTGTCTCCTGCAGAGGGGTGGGTCGACAGTGGCCTGCTGGGGTTCAGGGGCACTGAATACAGCAGTGCATGAACAAGTCCTTTTGAAAGAGGTGGCCATTACCATCATTACCCCTACCATAGTTTGATCTCAGGCCAAACAACAGGGAGAGAACACAGGCCCACTCATCAACAAAAACTTGGATGAAAGATTTACTGAGTATGGCCCTGCCCATCAGAATAAGGCCCCACAGTCAGTCTCTCCCATCAGGAAGCTTCCATAAGTCTCTATCCTCATCCCTCAGAGGGCAGACAAACTGAAAACCACAATCACAGAAAACTAAGCAGACTGATCACATGGATCACAACCTTGTTGAACTCAATGAAACTACGAGCCATGCCATGTCGGGCCACCCAAGATGGAAGGGTCATGCTGGAGCGTTCTGACACAACGTGGTCCGCTGGAGAAAGGGATGGCAAACCACTTGAGTATTCTTGCCTTGAGAACCCCATGAACAGTGTGAAAAGGCAAAAAGATAGGACGCTGAAAGATGAACTCCCTGGGTTGATAGGTGCCCAATATGCTAGTGGAGATCAGTGGAGAAATAACTCCAGAAAGAATGAAGAGATGGAGCGAAAACGAAAAAATGCCCAGTTGTGGATATGACTGGTGATGGAAGTAGAATCTGAAGCTGTAAAGAACAGTACTGCCTAGGAATCTGGAATGTTACATCTATGAATCAGGGTAAATTGGAAGTGGTCAAACAGGAAATGGCAAGAGTGAACATTGACATTTTAGGAATCAGTGAACCAAACTGGACTGGAATGGGTGAATTTAACTCAGATGACCATTATATCTACTACTGTGGGCAAGAATCCCTTAGAAGAAAGGGAGTAGCCATCATAGTCAACAGAAGAGTCTGACATGCAGTACTAAGGTGCAGTCTCAAAAATGACAGAATGATCTCTGTTCGTTTCCAAGGCAAACCATTTACCATCACGGTAATCCAAGTCAATGCCCCAGCCACTAATGCTGAAGAAGCTGAAGTTGAGCGGTTCTATGATGACCTACAAGACCTTCTAGAATTAACACCAAAAAAAAAAATGTCCTTTTCATCATAGGGGACTGGAATGCAAAAGTAGGAAGTCAAGAGATACCTGGAGTGACAGGCTAGTTTGGCCTTGGAGTACAAAATGAAGCAGGGCAAGGCAAACAGAGTTTTGCCAAGAGAATGCACTGGTCATAGCAAACGCCCTCTTCCAACAACACAAGAGATGACTCTACACATGGACATCAGCAGATGGTTGATTTTATGTGTAAAATACCCTATTTTTAACAAATAAATATTTGCAGTTTAAATTCCAGAAAGATGACAAAATGATGAAAAATTACTTGAAGGTGTTTGAAAGAAAGTCATTCATTTTGAAGTGTGTCCTGACTGGCATCAGCTTTATAAACTGTGTTGGCTATAAATGCATATCACTCATGAACCCACGAGAAATAATACTTTTTAAAAAAATTTCTGTGCCCACACTCTGAGCTCTGTACTGTCCTTTTGACATGAAATGACCTCTGTCTGTAGCTGAGTCATGTTTCCTAAGCCAGGTTCCTCTTCATCAAACTTCTGAGAAAATCCCAACGCCTCTTCTCATTTTGTATGTCTTGGTCTCGGTTGGACTTCCCAGATGTCTCAGACAGTAAAGAATCTGCCTGAAGTGCAGAAGACCCAGGTTCGATCCCTGGGTTGGGAAGATCCCCTGAAGAAAGTGAGAGTGAAAGTGCTCAGTTGTGTCTGACTCTTTGAGACCCCATGGACAATACAGTCGTTGGAATTCTCTAGGCCAGAATACTGGAGTGGATAGCCTTTCCCTTCTCCAGGGGATCTTCCCAGCGCGGGGACTGAATCCAGGTCTCCCGCATTGCAGGTGGATTCTTTACCAGCTGAGCCACAAGGGAAGCCCAAGAATACTGGAGTGGGTAGCCTATCCCTTCTCCCATAGTCCACAGGGTCAGAAAGTGTCAGACATGACTGGGCGACTAACACTGGGTCTCTGTTAGGTCAAGCAAGCAAGCAAGTGGTGTTTTTGCTGCCAAGGTTCTCTTTAAAGCTTTCGGTGTCCTGTGAATTCGATTGGGGTTCATGCCATTGGGAAAGCTACCCTCAAAAATGTTTTTTGAGGGAAGCATCATACCTTGGGCTTCCTATGAAGCTTTGCAGGATGATGCCTTTAAAATTCTTAGGCTCTTAAGATCCTTAAAGGAATCTGAGGCACCACCTTAAGTCTTTCCAGGGTCAACATTCAGAATACTGAGATCATGGCATCTGGTCTCATCACTTCTTGGAAAATAGATGGGGAAACTGTGGAAACAGTGGTTGACTTTATTTTTCTGGGCTCCAAAATCACTGTAGATAGTGACTGCAGCAATGAAATTAAAAGACGCTTACTCCTTGGAAGGAACGTTACGACCAACCTAGATAGCATATTAAAAAGCAGAGACATTACTCTGCCAACAAAGGTCCGTCTAGTCAAGGCTATGGTTTTTCCAGTGGTTGTGTATGGATGTGAGAGCTGGACTATAAAGAAAGCTGAGCACTGAAGAATTGATGCTTTTGAACCGTGATGTTGGAGAAGACTCTTGAGAGTCCCTTGGACTGCAAGGGGATCCAACCAGTCCATCTTAAAGGAGATCAGTCCTGAGTGTTCATTGGAAGGACTGCTGCTGAAGCTGAAACTCCGATACTTTAGCCACCTTATGTGAAGAGCTGACTCATTTGAAAAGACCCTGATTCTGGGAAAGATTGAGGACAGGAGGTGAAGGGGATGACAGAGGATGAAATGGTTAGATGGCATCACAGACTTGATGGACATGTTTGGGTGGACTCCGAGAGTTGGTGATGGACAGGGAGGCCTGGCATACTACGGTTCATGGGGTCGCAGGGAGTCGGACACGACTGAGCATCTGAATGTGGGGTTTTACAGTCTACAGGTTTTACGGTTAGACCATGATTTCCTTGCTAGCACCCTAGACTTGACCTTAGCCAAGAAGCCATTTGTCTTTTTGCATCATGTGACAATTGGACAGGGGGAGATGCTGTAAAGGGGATACAGATATTGAACCAAGTGAGTCGTGGTTCCTTTATATTTAATAGTGCCTTTTTTGGGTCTCATAGTTTATGCTTCTGACTGATTTTACTTTCAGCTGGTTCATAGCAAGAGTCTCCGTTCCCCCATGTTTCATGTCATTTTCTTCTCTTGCCTAGAAGCTGTCACTGGCAGCCTCTTCAAGGGCCATCAGGCTTCTGTTTACAAACTCATGAAGCCCTCTGGGTTTCCATTTCTTTCTCTGTATCCATTCGGGTCCCACCTACATCCAGGTTCAAAAGCATTCTCACATGTTTTAGTTCTTTTTTAATGGCAATACCTCATTTTGGGGCATCACTGACTCGATGGACATGAGTTTGAGCAAGCTCCAGGAGTTGGTGATGGACAGGGAATCCTGGTGTGATGCAGTCCATGGGGTCACAAAGAGTCAGGCATGACTGAGTGAACTGCACTGAACCCCATTTTTAATATCCGTATCTGTGCCAGTAACTTATTGCTAACAAATTGTATCAGAGATCACCCAAAGCCTAGTGGCTCAAAACAGCATTTCCTTTGTTCACAAGTCTGTGTTGGGGCAAGGCTCAGCGAGTGAGCCCAGCTCATTTCTTCTCCAGTCGTCATCAGCTGGGATGTCGTGAAGGTGGGGACCAGAGTCATCTGAAGACCTGTCCATGCACATGTCCGGCAGTTGGAGCTGGCTTTTAGATGGGTCATTAGGTGGGGGCAGTCAGTGGGAACACTGACATGTGCTCAGTATGTGGCCTGGGCTTCTTCAAAGCCTGGTGACTGATGCTAAGAGTGGGCTTCCCCACGGAGCCAGTCAGAAGCTATTTAGCTTGAGAAATCACATAGCAGTTCCCCTAGACTCTGTCCACTAGAATCAGTTACTGAGGCCAGCACATGTTTAAGGAGAGGGAATTTCACAAGAAAATTGTCAAAGAATTTGTAGACATGTTTGAAAACCACCGGCTCCACTCACCTCAACTTACCAAGTAATCATTCTGTCCAAATGAAAGTTCTTTCCAACTCTGTGTCACTGAAATTCCAGCAAATATTTTTTGTGTGTTTTCTTTGGTATATTCTCTTATTCTGTGGAAAGTAACAAAGGATTACAAGAAAGAGGCATTTTTCTCTTGTTCAGAAAAATGTATGGATCATCTCACTAAACTCTTAGGAGACGGGATATCTTTAGTCTTGCAAATCATTTCTCTCTGGAATGCAATTCAAATTAGCAAAAACTGTTTCTAGTTCAGAAAAAGGCTTATTGGATTAAAATCCATACTTAAAAGATTTATTAATTAGAGCCTTATTCTTACAATCTTCTTTTGGGAGGCATTTATTAACTCAGCCTTAGATAACTCAATACAGTATACCTCAAACTTCTTGAAAAACCATGGGATATGTTGGGGGGGACGGAGTAAGAGACGTTCTACTAAGGGGTGACTTGCAGTCATTCCATGGAAGAAAGATAGAAAAGTACTATTATAGAACAACAAAAGAGTGTAAAATCAAGTGCAAATGTTGTGTGACAAAGATGATGACAGTGAAGAATATATCTTGTGACTCTTGGTGGTTTGAACTTCTTTCTTGATTCTCTGAGTAATTCCTGGTCCTACATCCAACAATACAGATACCATCATATTTATTTGAGCCTTGGTTTGTGTTAGGCTGGGTTCAGTCCACTTCCCTCATTAACAAATGGTATTTGTTTTATTCTTGCAGACTGATGATCTTCCAGCAGAGCTGGAAACTGTATGTTCACAGTGTCTGCACATGAATGCAAAAATTCAAGTTCTTCGAGAGGAGTTATTATTCATGACAGGAATGCAAAAGAAATGTGCAGAACTAGAGAAGAATAAAAAGAAGCTGGAGCAAAAGATAGTGAACGTCAAAAGTCATATAGAAATGAATACGACAGAACACAGTCAAGTAGAGCAGTATAAACAGGAGATTGAAGAAAGAGTGAGACAGAATCTACTAGAGAACTTAAAAGAAGTCAACATGGTTTTACAGGTTAATTTGTTGATCTGTCATATCCTTGAATTCACCTCACTCTAAATTACATTGGCTATATACAGCTTATGTGTTTCCTCTGCTTCCCTTAGAGCAGTGTGTTTGGTAGATTTCTGGAAGGAAGGGGGCACTTGTCTCTCCCTGAAGAGAGAAATATTTCAATTTCCATCACAGTTTTCACTCAGTTGATCTTTCAGAATGATTCTGACCAGAGGATCCTTTTACTTAGAAGACCAATTGGTATAAAACAAGACCATGAGAAGGAAACAAAGTGTTGTGGTTTAGAACGGGTACCATCCTCTTGAATTATTCTCAAGTTGTCTTGTTCAGTTTTTTAAATTTTAAGTTGATCCTCTTATTATTTGAATTATCAGGTTACATAAATACTACTATAACATTGATTCCACTTTAATTTTATAATTCAGATTTAATTCATTTCATATTGACCATGATTATTTTTAAAGTTTCACTTTTCTTTTTTTCACACTTAAAATCACTCTCTGAATTACTGACTCAAAACTAAAGGGAACAAATTTAATTATTTCAGGTTATAATCATTAACCAAAGAAATATATCTTTTAAAATTTGACTTAGATACAAGCAGCGTCTGAAAAAATCTTAGAGCAGGCACGAGAGGAGCATATTGCTTCCTTAAGAAGTCAGATGGAACTCAGAATTAAAGAGCTGGAATCTGAACTCTTCAAGCTGGAAACTTCTCAAGCAGAATTGGAAAAATATAAGAAACTCTACCTAGAAGAACTAAAAGTTAGAAAGTCATTGGAAAACAAGCTAGACAAGTAAGTCAAAACCCAGAATCACAAACTAAGTTTAGTCCATTAATTTGTCTCTGAAGCCTAGTTTTTATAGAGCCAGGTTCTTGAGATTAGTAGGCAGTGAAAGCTAACTAGACAGTCACTGCTAAGGGGGTGCCCTAAGACAAATTAGTGACACTACATCCTGGTACGTTTTCCTACACTGTGTAAAAGCATGCTTGTGAAATTGGGGAATATTCACACAGGGGTGAAAGGCAGGGTAATTCACAGAGTGGCTGACGCTGGCATGGTGACCCGACTGAGGGGGGGTCTGGAGGCTGGAAGGGGCAGATCCCACCTGCAGTGCCGTTTGAAAGCAGAGCACTCCTAGGACGCCTTTCCTTAGCCCAGAGAGCATACAGCAAAGGAGCAGGGACCCGAGGACACGTTCTGCTAGTCGATGCCTAAAATAAGTACACACAAGGGAAGCACAGGTGCTCCCAGAGAGGGTTCAGGGCTGTGGGACTTGATGCTGGGATGTGGGGTGTGGCTTCTAGGGAAGGAGCTCGGTGGGGCCAGTCTCCCTGTTTGTGGAGCGCGATGCCTCTCGCTGTCAAAACATGCACTGAACGCCGTTTCAGCTTTTTGCCTTTTTAAATGAAACCGAAAACCCTCTTCAGACTTTTTTTTTTCTTTTTCTTTTTTTAATGAAAAACAGGTGCCTATGTAGGCCCCTCGTAGAAGAGAAGTAACATAAAATGAACTTTGGAAAAGCCGGGGATACTTGTAATTGTTCCTGGGGCTGTTTTAGTCCTTTTCAGTCTCACCCACTGACTTTCTCATCCTCCCTCGAGATTGTGGCTCTAGGTGATTCCTCAGAGCCACGTGCTTAATTTTTCCGAGGTCATGAGTGAAACATTTATACAAGGGTGGTGAAAGCAAATGTTTGAAAGTGGCTTTGTGGGAGGTGTGTTTCTTCATCCCTGAACTGTTTCCTGAGGGCAGGCGTGTCCCAGAGGCAGCAGGTGTCACTGGGAGCCCACCTCCCTTTCTGACGCCCGTTCTCCCCTCCCCCAGCTGTGACTTGTTACCTGAGGAGCCCAGACACACGTGTGCTTCTTTAGAACAAGGTCACAGCTGTCACTGTTTGCAGCAGCTCTGCTGTGTGCTTTCAGCGTTCTCATGGTGTGATGGGAATTCCATTTACTGTGCGGCAACTTACAAAATGCAAATCCTTTAGGGAATCGTGAACAAAACTGGTGTTTTCCATCTTCCCCAGGACTAATTGGAGGCTGGCAGAGATGAGCACCGAACTTGAGGTGGAGAAACAGCAGAACAGATCTTTACTGAGCACTCTCACCACGAGGCCAGTCCTGGAGCCGCCCTTGCATTGGAAATTTCAATACTTCAATATGACTCTTTCTCCAGAATCAAACGTAGGATTTTCTGCTTCAATTCCATTCCCTTCAAATAACAGCATGGTGACTGACTTGATCAAGTTTAGTTCTACTAACTTTTTTCCCTTGGGTTTAGGATTTCTGATATGAATGATTCGTATTTTCAACTTCTGAGCTGTTTATTTGACTTACGTGCACTCAGTAAAAGCCATAATTAACTGTGCTAACAAGGAGACAAAAGTTTTATGGTTTTTTTGGTGCTAGATATCTATTTTTAAGAGATACTTCTTATTAACTTCTTAAATTTCTTGAAAAGCTACATTTAAATTCTACTTTAGAAATGAAATCTTATTGCCTAGTAACCGAACATATACTTTCAGATATTTGACCTCCTTTCTAATTGATTTCACCTTGGCAAGTGTTCATTATCATCCCCAAGCTCCGCTGAACCCACTGCAGTTTTTCTACCCCTAAGCATAAGTAAATGACTGGCATCTAAACACTAACCATATATGGATGTTTTTGTATTTGAAGGAATCCTAGATAAATCCTTTTTATGAATTAAACAAACTTGTAGCACTATATGAGAAGATTAATTTCTAGTTTTCAGTGAACATTTTGGTCATTTTCTTACACAAGAATGCATCTTTAATCGCTATTTTACCTATAGCCTTCTTACTTAAATTTCTAAAAAATATTTTCTGAGCAACTGTAGAATATTTCTAAGTTTGTGGTTAAAGCAAACATTAAAAAATTTTAAATGAAGCTCACTTTTGTCTCTATCTCAACAGCACCTGGATGATTGATGACTGAGAGCAATGATGGGGAGTCTAAATTGCAGCTAGTTTTCATTGTGTAATTGTTGTGATTAAAATATCCATTTTAGTCAGAGCACACGGGTTTATGGTTTTGATGGTGTTTTCATGATGTTTATGGTGCAGATAAAAATAGCCCTTGTGAAATGCAGTCTCAACCTGTTTTCCCATTTGGCTTCTTGCCACCATAGAGCAATCTAAGGTTTCTTCGACAGCACTGCAGCTACGTTGGGTCTTAGTACCGTGAACCTGGAGGATGTGCTTTAGCTGTGCAGTCACAGTGGGCCTCCAGACACTTCATCCCAAGTCAGACACTGCCCCACGCAGGCCTAAGAGGAGGAAGCAAAGGCTCAATCCCCACCCCAGGGGCAGGCTGCCTACCACAGACCCAAGTTCATGGTGCTGTGATCACACACATCTTTTCAAAGAAGAGATTGGGAACCAAGCAAGCACTTCTTAGTTCCTTCTCCCAAACTCACCCGTTGGGTAAATCTCGCTTCTCATGAGGAGGTAGGAGTATAAGTGCTCCCCTTGAAACTTCAGGCTGAGGAAATGAAGTTCAACTGCAATTTCTGACCAGATTTAGATTAGAGTTGAGATTACACTCATGCTTTTTGTATATACCAATTAATTATGACAGCTTGGATAGAAGTATGCTAAGTAGTAGAGAGAGATCTTATTTGTGTGTGTGTGTGTTTTTTTAGTAGGTTTTTTTTTTCCGTTTATTTTTATTAGTTGGAGGCTAATTACTTTACAACATTGCAGTGGTTTTTGTCAAACATTGAAATGAATTAGCCATGGATTTACATGTATTCCCCATCCCGGTCCCCCCTCCCACCTCCCTCTCCACCCCATCCCTCTGGGTCTTCCCAGTGCACCAGTCCCGAGTACTTGTCTCATGCATCCAACCTGGGCTGGTGATCTGTTTCACCCTAGATATACATGTTTCGATGCTGTTGTCTTGAAACATCCCACCGTTGCCTTCTCCCACAGAGTCCACAAGTCTGTTCTATACATCTGAGTCTCTTTTTCTGTTTTGCATATAGGGTTATCGTTACCGTCTTTGTAAATTCCATATATATGTGTTAGTATACTGTAATGGTCTTTATCTTTCTGGCTTACTTCGCTCTGTATAATGGGCTCCAGTTTCATCCATCTCATTAGAACTGATTCAAATGAATTCTTTTTAATGGCTGAGTAATATTCCACGGTGTATATGTACCACAGCTTCCTCATCCATTCGTCTGCTGATGGGCATCTAGGTTGCTTCCATGTCCTGCCTATTATAAACAGTGCTCCGATGAACATTGGGATGCATGCGTCTCTTTCAGATCTGGTTTCCTCAGTGTGTATGCCTAGAAGTGGTATTCCTGGGTCATATGGCAGTTCTATTTCCAGCTTTTTAAGAAATCTCCACACTGTTTTCCATAGTGGCTGTACTAATTTGCATTCCCACCAACAGTGTAAGAGGGTTCCCTTTTATCCACACCCTCTCCAGCATTTATTGCTTGTAGACTTTTGGATAGCAGCCATCCTGACTGGCGTGGAATGGTACCTCATTGTGGTTTTGATTTGCATTTCTCTGATAATGAGTGATGTTGAGCATCTTTTCATGTGTTTTTTTTGCCATCCGTATGTCTTCCTTGGAGAAATGTCTGTTTAGTTCTTTGGCCCATTTTTTGATTGGGTCATTTATTTTTCTGGAATTGAGCTGCAGGAGTTGCTTGTATATTTTTGAGATTAATCCTTTGTCTGTTGCTTCATTTGCTATTATTTTCTCCCAATCTGAGGGCTGTCTTTTCACCTTGCTTATAGTTTCCTTTGTTGTGCAAAAGTTAAATTGTGTCTTAAATAACTCAAAATGTGGATAATTCATTTTGCCGATTCATTTTAATAAACCAGGTTTTATCTGGAGGAAACGAACATCCTTTTAAGACGAATCTCTTCAGTTTTGGCCTGCTTGATTCAACTAAAGATTTTCTCTTTTAAGTTTCCTGTCCTGTGTTTAAAAAATATTTATGCTTTACAAATTAACTATATCGACCGGTACAAATAGGAGTTTCATATTGATTTATTTTTGTTCATGCATTTAAGACATATAATTTAAAACATTTATTAAATGCCACAAGCATTATTGAACTATGTAACAAGGTTTTACATATTCATTTTCTCTATGTTACAGTTAAAAATCTATATGCGTTTTCTTAATCTGAGGAAGGAGGTGGCATAGGACTCTAGACTCAGTAAGAAGTCCATTGGCCTTATTACTTCTTTTGTAGAATTAGGAAGTTTGACTAAATCAATGACTCTCATGCCTTTAAAAAAGTTTTTTTTTTTTTTTTCCCAAAGAAAACAACCTTTCTTTTTAAAAAAAACTTCTGAGTGGAATGGTATTATATGAAAGGGACAAATATAGAGCCATTTAAAAGGAGTGGCCAGAGACCGTGCAGCTGTGGCTTCTCTGTTCCTCACCCCTGCAGTGACCCCCGCGGGGCCTTCCCCTTCTATGGGACATAGATCGCAAACTAACACTAATGAGAGAATCCTTCTCGCTAAACACCTTTAGAATTAAAACTTGCCGATACATTGTTTTCTTGTGTATAATTTTCTCGCCTTTCTATGTTTTCGCTCAATGGAAAAGTTTAAAGAAAACTGCAGATGTGTTGTCCTTGTTAACATTCGACTTCAGACTACTTCCTCCATATGACATGATCCTCACCTAGAAATCAAAATAAAGGTCTCAGAAGTACATATTTAGGGCAGGGCCTGTTAAAGGAGAAGATAGTGATCTTGTGGGTCATTACTAGGATTATGGGTCATTCCCCAATTCTCTGAAATTATGTGTACTCAATAGACTGGTATTTATTATACTTTTTCTCAGATTAATCTAAATAGCATTCCATATATATGTTCTCTGTTATCTAAAAGCAAAATAAGTAGGAATTCATTTTCTTCTATTTATGTGATGATTTTTCTACTTAAGTAATCTTCAAGTTAGGTCTAGTCTGTAAAAGTATTATTTAAATGTCACATGTAAATTATATGTAATTCCTATGATAATTCTCTTGTTTATCTTAAACATAAATAATATTTGATGTATTTCAGATGCAGCGGGAGTTGGACAGGCGTCTAACTAGAGAACTAGAAGAAGGTATGTTGCCAAAACGTACGAATTAAATTTAGACATTGATTTCTGAAACACATGGTAGTCAGTGGCATCTCTTTCCATTGTTTGGATAACAGTTGCTATCTTAAATACTTTTTCTTACATATAGCTAATGAAAAATGTGAAAGTATGAGCAGTCATAGTGAAAAATATCCTTCTTCCTCATTGATTCATCATGTTCCATAGCTTGAAAAACAATCTCTAAAGGTCTATGTATTTCTTTTATTTCTGGCAATTTCCTTCTTCTACTGCCTCCATCCCTGTGGAACGATCCACCTGCACCTGACAGTATTCTCAGGAAATGTGGCGTTCGCCCGCTTCTCAGGCGCTGATAGCAGTTAAGGCTGGAAACCCAGACTCAAGCAGTCACGTGTGTGTAGCAGTCACTTGGTGGGTGACTAAAATTTCTCTGTCACTGACTTTGCCACCAGTTTATCTTTCACCCTCAGGAAAAGCTCCAAACACCCACATCGGTTTGGGTCCTGCCAAAGTAGGTGGCCTTATATCCTTACCACCCTCCTCTGCCCTCAGCTCTGCATCTAACCAGCCAGACTATAGGATCCCACAGCTGTGCGTCCTCACCTGCGGGCTTTGTGCGTGCTGCTCCCCTCCGTGTCCTGTACTTTTTCCGGTCCTCCAGGCATCTGCTTCCATAGCACCTCCACCAGAAAGCTGGCAGTTCTGACACGAAGCTGGCTGTCCCTTCTGAGTGTCCCAGTGCCGTCTTTTATATCTGTTTTGCATTTATGAGTCTGTGTGGACGTTGCCTGTTTGTCTGGTTTTCCAGTTGAGGGCATATCATTTTCAGGGTGGACCTGGGTCGCCTTCATCTTATAATTGCAGTCCTTGTCCCAGCACCTTTGCACACAGTTGCTGAGTAAACCAGCGAAGAATGCGGAAACCAGGAATCTGATGCTCAGCCACACGTGCGACCATGCGCAGGTTATAGAATGGTAATCTGTATTTCCCGTCATGCCACCGATAGATAGCTTTCATTTTTCTGAATACTAGGAAGGGTCTCAGGTTTTTTCGTTCTCTTGTTGGTTTGTTGTAACTAATACTTACTTAACTCAAGTATTTCAGGTGAAGAATATAATTCTTTCCTTTTCTTTCCAGTTGAGGCTGAATTGGCATCTGATGCCTTTCAAGTGTTTTCTCGAAGATCGTCAGATGGGTCAAATGTGTATGATGACCAACTTTTGAAAGCAGAAGCAGACTATCAACAGATTTTGTTTGAAAAATATAAGATTTAGAAAGATAAATGGTAAACATTTCCCTACTGGACTGTTTCCATGACATTTCGTTGTTTCCCATTAAAGATGATGAGAAAATCTTTTTGAAAAGAAAATATTTTTGTGTTACGTGTGTATGATGAAAATTTACATAGTATTTTAAGTGGTGTTTCTCTGCATCTAACTTACTTTTAAGCAGATTTAAAAGCCAGCACTGTTGAGTTTTCCATATTCTAAGCGATAGTGTTAGTCACTTAATCGTGTCCAACTGTTTGCGACCCCATGGACTGTAGCCCACTAATCTCCTCTGTCCATGGAATTCTCCAGGCAGGAATACTGGAGTGGGGAGCCATTCCCTTCTCCAGGGCATCTTCCAGACCCTGGGATCACACTCGGGTCACGTGCATTGCAGGTGGATTCTTTACCAGCTGTTTAAACAGCACCCAAAGAGCCAGACTTGTCATTAATATTTAGTGGTGTTGATTGACAGCTTTTTGGTATGTTCCACTTTTTATCACTATATATAGACCCAAAGATTTAGATACTGCTGTTATGGCTACCATCAATGTTTTGACGTGTTACAGTTGTTAACAGTGGCATAAAACTTACTATATATGTAATTTTAAACAGATTCATAAGTCCTTCCTCATGGAGAAGTAAGGTTTGGCTAAGTTTTCACTTTTTAAATGAATGAACTTTTATAGATTAAATTTTTATTTTTATTTAGAGGATAATTACTTTACAATATTGTGATGGTTTCTGCCATACATTGACTTGAATCGGCCATAGGAATGCATTTGTTCCCTCCCTCTTGACCCTCCTTCCCACCTCCCTCCCCTTTCCACCCCTCTAGATTGTCAGAAAGCACCAGCTTTGGGTTCCCTGCATCATACAGCAAATTCCAAAAGGACACATATACCTCAGTGTTCATTGCAGCATTATTTACAATAACTAGGACATGGAAGTAACCTAGATGACCTTCAACAGAGGCATGGATAAAGAAGCTGTGTATTAATCAGCTCTAAAAAGGAATGCATTTGAGTCCGTTTTAATTGACTTCCGATTTACTCCTGGAGACAGTGTTAAAATTAGAGAAAGTTCTTCCTTTCTCATAGCAGTGGCTTCTCCTGTTGCAGAGCCCTGGCTCGAGAGTGCAGGCTCAGCAGTTGTGGTGGTTGGGCTTAGTTGCTCCGCAGCCTGAGGGATCTACCCAGACTAGGGATCGAACCCCATGTCCCTTCAATTGGCAGCGGATTCTTAACCACTAGACCACCAGGGAGGTACACGTTCATTTTAAAACAGGGCCTGGGAATTCCCTGCTGGGCCAGTCATTAGGAATCTGGGCTTTCACTGCCAGGGGCCTGAGTTCAACCCTGGTTTGGAAATTAAGATCCCACAGAATGCAAAACAAACAAACAGAAACTTAAAAAACAGTGCCTATAATTGTGTTGGTCATCTTACCTTTGAAGGAAGAGTATTTTCCCCCCAACAGAACTCAATAAAACTGGCCTCATTTTGAATGAGAAAAAAAAACCTAGCTTGGAAAGATTCCTGAGTTGGTTCGTGGGCAGAAACAAATGAAGAACCACCTTAAACCCCTCCCTGCTGGCCCCGGGGGGGGGGCTTTGAGGTGCGTTGGCCTCCTGTTACTTCCCCCAGAGCCCGTGTGGCCAGTGCTGCCAGCAGAGCTGCTCCTGGGGCGAGGAGGGCTCTGCATGACACACCCACCCCACGTGGCTTGGTCACTTTGCCGCTACTGCTTTTTCTTTGTGGACTTCAGACTCAGGTGTGGCAACTCTCCTCGTGGTCCAGTGGTTAAGACTCCGTGCTTCCACTGCAGGGGGAACTTGTTCCATACATGGCTGGTGAACTAAGATGCCACATGCCATTCGTGGTGTGGCCAGAAAGAAAAAACAAAAAAAAAACGGGTGTGATTTTGATTGCTGATGTCCTAGCCCCTCTTGATATCACCTGGAATTGTATTCGAGGGCTAGGTGAGCAAAAGGCACATTTGTGAATATCAGCACTGGTTAAAACAGCATAAACAAGGTTATCTGGTTTCCTTGATGTTTTTTTATGCTGGCCCTTCGTCCTTTTGTGAACTGTGATGGGAGAGGACACAGAAACACAGTCAAATGGTATCAGTTAAAAGAGCAGCACACTCAGCCATCAGATTCCCTCCTGTTTTTGTTTTTTAATTTTTGTTAACGCTACACAGCTCGTGTGGTCTTAGTGCTCCCACCAAGATTGAACCTGGGCTCTTGGCTGTGAGAGTGCATTATCCTAACCACTGAACCACCAGAGAATTTCCAAATCCCCTCCCGTTTGATGGCTCAGAAGAAAGCTGATGAGTATTATCAAAGACACAAAAGAAATCTGAGATTGAATCAAACAAAATGGCCATTTTATTGTGCTCCCATGTAGTCAAGAAGTTTTTTTTTTTTTTTAATATTTATTTATTTAGCTGCACCAGTGTTCGCTGCAATATGTGGGATAGTTAGTTGGGGGATTAAACTCTTACCTGCGTCATGTGAGATCTAGTTCCGTGACCAGCATTGGAGCTGGGTCCCCTGCATTGGAAGCTTGGAGACTTAGCCACTGGCCTACCAGGGAAGTCCCTCAACAAGTATTTTTGAGCACTTATTATGTGCTAGGCAACATCTAGAAGCTAGGAATGTAAAATGAAAGTAATACAATATCTCTGTGAAATGAAAGCTATGCAAGAATATTCTTTCTAGTATTGATCCACATGGCAAAAGTCTGGACACAGCCTTTTCAATATGAGATTAGTTAAGGTCCATATAGTCAAAGCAGTGGTTTTTCCAGCAGTGTTGTATGGATGTGAGAGTTGGATCATAAAGAAGACTGAGTGCCAAAGAATTGACGCCTTTGAATTGTGGTGCTGGAGAATATTTTTGAGTCAAAAGGAGATCAACCAGTCAATCCTAAAGGCAATCAACCTGGAATATTCATTGGAAGGACTGATAATGAAGCCGAAGCTCCAATACCCTGGCCACTGATGGGAAGAGCCAACTCATTGGAAAACACTCTGATGCTGGGAAAGATTAAGAGTAGGGAGGAGAAGGGGACAACAGAGAATGAGATGGTTGGATGGCATCACCGACATGACGTGAACTTTGGGAAACTCTGGGAGATGGTGAGGGACAGGGGAAGCCTGGTGTGTTGCAGTCCATGGGGTCGCCAAATGTTGGACATGATTTATGACTGAACAACAATAAATTAGTAGGTCCACTTGATGAAATTGATGCATCCTCGTAAAAATGAGGGAAGAAGTTTCAGACATCATCATATTAGCAGTTTAGCAAATTCACGCTCACCTTCCAGTGAGGGCTACTAAAATGGTAAGCCCATACAGCACAAGGAAGAGGAGTCTGCACTCGCCACAAATAGAGAAAGGCTGCATGCAGCAATGAAGACCCAGCACAGCCAAAAATAAATAAATAGATTTTTAAAGAAGAAAGGTGAAAGAATGTCTCCTTGAGAAGGTGAATTCTGCTCAGTTTTGAAAGGATATAGAGACGAACACGTCCAATAGACATTAGTTCAGTATTTACAACGTGTCAGCTTTGAGACCACATGCTAGTTGGGGAGCCAGATGATAAACAGACATATAAATAGTCCACCTTCAAGTCTGACAGTGTATAACCCAGGCAGAGATGTCCCACAGCCAACAGCAGCATTTAGTGCTCAGAGGCAGCAGTAGAAATGTGCTCA